CTTCTTCCCTCTCGAACCACCCTTTCTACCCCCTCTTTGCCAACCATGGCCTCCGACCCAGACAACCCCATCCCCTCAGTCGAGGCTTCCACCAATATGACCCTAGCGCTCTATCAACCCGCCGGATTCGACGTCGTTGTGAGTAACAGCGACGATATCCCTACTGGATCTGTCACGGTCAACGACCCCCCGTCCTGGCTCATCGCTATGCATGAACAGATTGCTAGAGCCCACAACCAGATCCGGGAGATTCCCTCGTCTATCGACCAGGAGCGGACCCAAGAGCTCGCAACCCTCCGAGAGCAATATGAGAACCTGCGGGACAACTACACCCTCGTTACCAGCATGTTCCGAAGAGGCATTGAGGCCTCTCAGAACCAAATCACCCAGTTCCAACAGCAAGTCCAACAGGCCAGCGACAGATTCGCCTCTGAAGTCTGGACTGTTATCGCGCAATACGGCAAACAGGATGCTGAGCACCAGAAGGCAATTGACCACCTCCACGAGATTTCCCTACGCCATCAGAAGGCCCTCGAGACTCTCGATGAAAGAGGCGTCCGTCAGCAATCCGTCCTGGGCCGAATCGACACTTGGGCATCCACCAAAGAATCCCAGATCAACGATATCCTCACCAAATTCGTGGACCAAGACAGTTTGAGGAAATTCGAGGAACAAATCACAATCATCCAACAGAGCACCCAGGAGGCCATTCAGAAAGCTCTTGAACAAAGTGGCCAACCCGGTCAAGCTCCCGACATCGCCTCAGTAATGAGGGTCCTGGAACAACGCGCCGCCACGAAGGCTCCCAGCACCGTTCCACGCTCCTCGCTCTATGGGCCACCTGCCAGCCCAAGCCTAATCGACGACAACGTACTCCAGGCGGCCCAGGCAAAAAGACAGGCCAGCCAGGCCAGGATGCAACACAAGGCCACGTACGCCGGCACCTATGGCGCTGGATCCCTACGCTTTGGTTAGTCCGCAGGAGGAGGCCAAGAACCTCCTGGGCCGCCACAGCTACCCCGGCACGTCCCCGGCCCTGCCGACGACAACAGTCGTAACCAGGCCAACAACTTCCTTCAAGCCCTAGGTTACCCCATGATCCAGACTACGCCCATCCACCTCAACAAGCCTGCTACCTACGATGGTAAGAGGCTCGATGCCTTTAGGCCTTGGTGGGCTAGGATCAACGCCTACCTCCACGCCTATGCCGCCAGCTTCCCGACAGACAGCCCGGAACCCTTTGCGCCCCCTATTCGAAAACCTTTGGATGCTACCTGTGACAAGGGCAGTGTTCTGGGCTTGGAACAGTAGTTCAATTCAGCTAATAAACTACTTTTGGTCTCAAAGGCCTTGTTGATCCTTTCAACCTCCATGAGAAGGTCGGGCCTTAAGGCCTTCTTATACCAAAGAAGGTTGGTACGTACCGAGCCCTGTGTGCCAGGCATCGGCGCGAGTCTATCTAGTTCATCTGCCTGCAAGTAGATCTTTTGAATGCCAGCCTTCGTCCAGTTGCCCGTCGGTAATTCCGGTCGGTGGTTTAATTGATGAAAGTCGCCGGTGAATGTCCGTGTGGCATTCTGTCGGTAATTGCGGTCGGCAGTTTGACTGATGAATGTCACCGGCGAATGTCCGTGTGACACTGGCCGAGGCAAGGCTGGCATTGTATGGCGAGGTTGGGTTGATGTCAAGCATTGAGGCTCTATTGAACTTCAAATCCAGGAGTGTGGGCAATGTCCGTGTGACATCAGGAAACACCCAAAGTTCTCATTCATTCCTGTCGAACCTCCCACGAGCCCGCGTAGTCCTCTGCCTCCCGGAGGAGTTGAATACCCCCGAAGTTCTCATTCATTCCCGTCGAACCTCCCATGAGCCCGCGAAGCCCTGTAATCGTCCAGCGAGAGCCCTCGAAGTTTCCTTCAGTAACTGTCGAACCCCCTTTGACTCGGCGGGGCACTCCTTTGTTAGTATGGGGTCTTTCTCGCCGTTTTTGGCTTCTTCCGCCCCAAAGGACGGTCCAAATCACCATCGTACGCAGAACCACGCCATCGGAGGAGACCCTTCGCCGTCGTTAAAGCGTCAAGGGGCAATCAAGGCTCGGACCACGCCTTACGGGAAGATCTCTATTCCCAGAAAGGATCAAACATTTGGCCGCGAGACCCTCAAGCATAACTCGCAACCAAACCCCCTGACAGATTCGCCTGAACTGGCCCAGCCTAAACCTGTTCGGCCGCGGACGAACTTTTTCAAGGAGCGACTGGCATTCTTCGACGGTAAGTTGGCTCCGGAAGGCCCGTTGTCGCACAGCATGTCGGGTACTCCGAACTCAGCAGCCTCTTCCTTAGCCAGCACGAAAGCGCAGTACGCGCGGAGTGCAGGCTCTGAAAGGTGGGACGAGTATCTCGCGCGCCGTTCCTTGGGGTTGCCTGCCAAGTACAACGCTCCGGGAATGAGCTATCGTTTTTGCGGATGCTCGGACTGCGTATGGGCTAAGACAAGCGAATGTAGCAGCGTTCGTTAGGCGGTACCAGGATGCCGAGCTCGTTCGACTGGAGAATGAGGGTCGGTTGTTTGGAAAATTGAGCACCGACTGAGAAAGAGGCTGCTCTTGATAATGGGCCGAGTTCGACTCGGCTGCGAAGTCAATCAGCCCTGCGCGACAACAAAGGAAGTGGGAGAGGAAAGTTCGAATTTGGAAGACGTGGAGGAAGCGGAGGGGAGCAGGGAAAGTTGCGACTTGGTAGTGTTAGATCGTATCGCCAAATGGAGTAGGATCGTCGCAAATGGATTGGAAGGAGAAATTGAGGTAGTGATCGTGACCACAGGATCATTCCTTCTTGACGTGCCCGTGACGGGATTGTTCGTTTCTTGGCGCTGCTGGTCTAAAGCTCCGACGTCGCTTTTCTTTGCATACAGATACTGGGCTAACAGCATCTCACCCAAGTACGCACGAGATAAGATAAGGTCAGATCTTAGTGCTGGCGGCCATCAACCGTTTTGTTCTTCCGTTGTCAATTACCACCGCATTGCGACACGCATCGCTCACTTCGTTCAATTCGACAGAGAGCGCTTGACTTGTAAATATTGTAGGCAATGGGACTTATGAGATGGATGACCAATCCTATATACCTTCCATTAATGATTAAATCGTCGTTGTCTTCTAGTGTCTTCCGCTTCTCCAGGGCAATGAACTTGGCCCCATCATCACATTTCACCATACTTTATGTACGTTCCCTTCGTTATCCTATATGCTTCAGTTCTTCAGGATCACTTGTACGGGACTGGATCCACTCATTGCTACTCTACTGTTTAATTTGGCAATGTCTAAACCACTGTGAGTTTCATCAAATTGTCTCAAATGACTACCATGGATGCGTTAAGAGTCAGCGGTCACTGGTATCGATTTGATATCGGCGCCCCTCCTTCTGTGAAGTTTGAGAGATATAAAGCCTTGAATATAATTGGCTCATTCCTACCATGCTGTCCAACTGTTATACTACTGTTCATCAGCTAAGCCCCTATTCATGAACAGTCATGGTGTTCCAGGTTCTCAGTTGAAGAACAACAACAGTCGCAATGACCACGACTACTGTTCGGAGAAAATGACCGCCGTCAACGTTGGCGACAGTCAACCTGGACCATGGGGTATATTCCATGAATTTCTTCAGTGGGAGGGGAGGTTATGCTTCTCTTCTTGCATCTTCATCACAAAAGTGACAACACGATCTACCTCGACGAACTACCGCCCATAGCCAAGCAAATACTATTGCACAAGAACAAGGTATCCCTCCTCACCCAGAGCGTCAAAACTACCTATGCAAACTTCACGAGATGCTAAAAATCCATCAGATGTCCGATCCATTCCACGAGCTGCGCACCGCGCGCAAGGGAGGAGTCCAACCCCTTCATCGGCAAACCACCTCGCTCCAGATCCCTGATCGTTTTAACGAGCTGCGTACTGGGCGTAGGGAAGGTCGCTCCCCGCCCCGACCAAACATCTCGAAGAAAAGAGACGACGCGACGAAACAGCCAAATCATGTCGAGACTAATTGCGATGAGAGAGCCACCGAGCTGTACCCCAAAGGCGACAGCCCGCTCATCGACGCCTTGAGACGGAGGTCCATATCGTCTCCGCCTCCACAGACCCTGCCGCCAACCCCCGATGCTCGTTTCTCTGGGACCGGCATGACAAAGAAGACGGTGCGCTGGGCCGACCCGCTCGAACAACCGACCCGGAGAAGATAGCATGCGAGGGAAAGAGCAGGGATTCCAAGACACCGAAGGAAGATGAGGAGAAAGCCACGGAGGAAAAGCATAAGCCTCGTGGATCGCGTGTAAACAAGGCTTTGAGCATTCTGCGACTCAAGCGCAGCAGTTCAGAGCCTCCAGCATCCAAGTCCCCCTGCTTGAGCCGTCGCCCAACGCCGATCTTCACCGCCAGGGTTAACTTGACGACACAAGGTCGCCAATATCCTCAGCGCCCACTTAGCCCCCCAATACCTCAAGCAATGCCTGCGCCACTGAGAATTTCTCCCACCAAGACGCCTACTCACAGCACCCCAAACATTATGCCATCATCGGCGTCCGCGCCAAAATTCCAGGTATGACAGTCCCGATAGGCTAAGAAAGTGACCTCGCTAATCTCTTCAAATCCCAGGTGCAACCTCAGTCAAAGCCATTGATTCTTCCCTTGTCATGGCGACAACAGAAAGCCAGTCCCGGAAGTTCTCCTTTGAAGATCAAACCGAGGTCATCAGCCTCAGCCCATATCACCATCCTCTCAACCAGCGCTCTCTTCCCCAGGCCACGCCAAAGAAACAGACCCCGTTCAAGCCGACCACTTCCTCCTATTTGAAGGAAACCCCAAGACGTCGGGTGTCACACGGACATTCGCCGGCAATTTTCATCAATTAAACCACCGACGACGGACAAATGGACGACGGCTGGCATTCAAAAGATCTACTTGCAGGCAGATGAACTAGATAGACTCGCGCCGATGCCTGGCACACAGGGCTCGGTACGTACCAACCTTCTTTGGTATAAGAAGGCCTTAAGGCCTGACCTTCTCATGGAGGTTGAAAGGATCAACAAGGCCTTCGAGACCAAAGTAGTTTATTATCTGAATTTAACTACTGTTCCAAGCCCAGAACACTGCCCTTGTCACAGGTAGCATCCAAAGGTTTTCGAAGTGTATGAAGGGCATTTGTAGGGGGCGCAAAGGGTTCCGGGCAAGCTAGAACAGGTGAGGTTGTACGGCGTGGGCCTGTTTTCAAGGAGTAGAGGGCTTTGGCATTTGATGGGTGGTTTCTCGGCATGGCATCCATGGTATGACATAGCGTGTTGTGCTTTCGTAACGATCATTATGGGCGGAGGAGCAGTTAGGTAGCCGAATAAAAATAATGATAAAAGAATGGACTTGTGGTAGTTATTGACATTCCAAGTGCTATTCTGTTGCTTTCGGTGTACAAGAACTACAATGATGCCTCCAAAATCCCGAGTGTCCCTCCCAGTCCCACCTGCATGTTCGGCCCCGTGCCCCGTTCCCCACCCCGTCTGAGGCCCATCTGCCTGCCTGCATGCCCTCCAACCAGACCTAGACAGCCCCCATGGCTCTTTCCCAACACCCTAATCCACCGAAACCCCTTCAAGCCCTTGCCCTCCCCGGACGACTTCCCTCAATTCGTTCTACACCTCTCAAAGCCCCTTCCCGGCCCAGTTCCCGACCCCGGTCTACCACTACCACCACCACCACCCTCCCCATATGCAGAGTATCCACACTCCCCCGAAGTAGAAACCCTCCTCAAACTACTACATCCAGCGCTACTCCTCGACATCCTCCTCGTCCTCACGACCCTCGGCCTTCTCTTCAACGAGCACGGCTCCTCGGGGATTGGTGTAAGTGGGCGAATTCTTTGCAGTTTCTTGAAGATGGATACGGATCTTGGTGGGGGTCTGGGGCGGACGCAGATGCTTGCCGTGGGTGTTGCTTGCGCTTGTCCATGGGAATGTCCTTGTCCTTGGCCTTGGGGATGTGTCCCTGGTCTAGAGATAGCGCGAGCGTCGGTAGGAAGGAGGGGGAGGGGTTTATGCTTCCTTGCAGCAGCTACATGTGGGATGTTGATTGCACATGTTGGGGTGTTGGGCTTGAGGTTCAAGATTGTGGCTGGGGTGTTGGTGTTGATGACTCGGAGTTTTCGGTAGGTATGACTGCGAGGAGCGTCGTTGACGATTGGATCAAGCTGTTGGACACACGGAGCTGGAGATCTTGGCTGCTCTTGCTGCTCTTGCTGCTTTTCCGTGGCGTCGACCTCTATAGGGCTAGGCGTCCGGCTGTTGTCGCTTATCTCGCCGGTGCTACCCTCCAGTTCGTGGTGGTGGTTTACTTCGTCGACGGTGCAAAGCTGCGGTTTGCTGCTGTTGACGGTCAAAACCCGATAATGCGGTTCATCACGGGAGAAGGGGAGCGGACCTTTTGTTGTTGCAGACATGGAGGTTGAGATCTCTCCCACAAGGGTTCTAAAGTGCGGCCCTGCTTCGCGCCCGCCGGCAGCGATCGAGTCGTTTTCGGTGACCTCAGATGATGATGTCTTGCTTTGCGTGTCATCTGACTCGGGGGTGGAGGTAGCAAAGCCGGTCGCAAGTTGTCTCTCCAAATCACGGATCCGGTCAAGCGCCGCTTGGATCTTTTGTTCTTGTTGGCGGAAAATCTTTTCGGTGTTGGCGAGACGGAGGGCGAGTTCGGCGTCGGATTCTCCTTGCTTGGGGTCTGATTGTGTTGACCAGTGGGAGCGGGAATCCTGGGCTCTAGCGGTCTCTTCTTGCAGTGTCCGTCGATGATTGCGCCTTGCGTTCGTCCAGTGCCAACTTCAACTTGTTGGAGTGGAGGTCTTCAGCATTCCTCCGTTCGATAAGAGGGCGTGCTGACTGTGTCTCGGCGCTCGCCTTCTTCAGGGGCAAAGCTTCGAATTTGGTGGTGCTGCCGAATTTTGTGGCGAGTCCAGCAACAAAGCCCTCCTTCTTGTCATCCTGAGTTGAAGTGTTGAAGCAGACTTTACTATCGCTGGTCTTCTCCGTCCGCAAGATCTCCTTCTCTTCTGTCTTGAAGCTGAAAGCGCGGGTAGGTCTTGCCTCGACCTTCAGTTCCTTTGCTTTCCACTCCACGACATCAGTGGCACGTCGCTTGCTGACTCGGACACTGGACTCTTTTTTGTAGTCGATCCAACTGGGTCTCTCAAGGACTTGCTTCTCGGTTTGGGTACCCTTCTCCTCCTTGTTGGAATTGACAGTTGATGTAGGTTGCGCCTCTTGCCAAGTCACCGACCCATCGGGATTGACGACCTTTGCCCATCGAATGATTCCGGTTCCGAGTACCTCTCTCCTCCGCGGCATGCCGGTGAAGACCAAGCCGCCGCCCATCTCAAAATGGACGTTGTTGGTGGTGGTAGCCCGAATGCGTGTGGGTTGTCGGGATTGATGTTCTCAATGGTCTTTTTGTGTTGATGATGTATTATTGGTGTTGTTGATATGTCGTAGTGTATGTTCTCGACTCTCTTCATGGTGGCAAACAAAGTAGTATGGTCGCCGGTATGACTGCCTCTATGACCGTTGTTCCCGTCTCTATCATGTTCTCGTTGTCGTTGTCGTGCTTGGCTGTGGTGATAGAAGCATTACTGTTGTCTGACGACTGTGGTACTATGGTTGTTGAAGCAATTCTTGTTGTTGTTCTCTGCATTGCAACCGCTCGGCGAGTGCTGATCAGCAGGAATATGTAGGGCTGCTCTGGCTGGGGCCGGACCGGAGATAACGGGGAAAGCAATTCAAGCATAGGGGTTCGACACACTTTGCAGGGCGAGATCATGAAAATGGGGTTTGTGTCCAGCTTATTATAACGACAGCCGAGATATTTTTGGGAGGCTGAGGGACCTCTACCGAGTTACCGAGATCACGATATGGGATAAGCGAGGCGGGAAGCCGGGAGCTAAAAATAGAGAAGCCCTCTGTTCCGGAAATCTCTCCTGTCGATCCGGACAATTTGCCCTGGTCAATAATACGGGGAACTTCGGCATAGTCCACACCTCTCCAGGTCTTGACCTGTGGGGGGAACCCTTTTTCGGGGTGTGGAAAGTTCCATTATCCGTGTGGGGAGGGGAATGTTGAGCTGTCGATCGAGCCCCTTGGCGAAGTAAGCCGTCGAGGAAATCACAACTTCAACACGAACTTTAACCGAAAAAGGGAACTGAACAAAAATGATTGATCGTACGAAAAACGCATTGATGCAGGTTGAAGCCCGCAAAATGTCATGAAGTGTTCGAAGGGGTTGAGTGTCTCTTGTTGAAGGTGGTCGCTACCTTAGTCAGGGGGAGCACAGTGCGAAGCCGGCCCCGCTATGCAATTTCCGCAACCTCAGCAAGCAGAGAACATAAGAAAGAACATGATTTCCCAAAATGGAATAGAACACATGGGGAAGAACCCGTCCCGACTCCATACCACGGGGAATTACGACATTGTGGACCACTTTTGCACTTTTGGGTTGCCCGATTTAACATGGTCTCATGGGGATCGATGCACAGTGCCTCTTCAGTTTGCACTTATCCTCGCTCATTTGCACGCCCGGAAAAACACGGTGGTGGACTACGATTCCTTGGATACATGATGAAGAGCGCCTTCAAAATACCCTACTTCTCTTTTCTTGTGACAACCCATCTTCGAAATCCGTGAACTGATGTACTTCTACTCCAACACCTCTAAAGGGCATATAACCCTTTCCCGGATGCCTCCCCTGCTGCCCGTCATCCCATGCATGATGCTTTCCGTCTCTCAAATCCCACCGCATATTCCGTCCTCCGTATTCATTGGCTCACCACCCGTCGCACTCCCTCGCCTTAACGGCTCTTTAAATTCTGATCCTGCGATCCTTCCACGACTCTATTACGTCCAGTGCCGCCGTCAATCCCCGTGGAGGCGCAAAGACACTCTCACTCTTCACCTCAATCCTTTCATGGGCTCTTAGCAAGCGAAAACGCCGACCTGGTCATTGATCTAAGAGCTTGACAATAAGTACTTCGTCTATGGCTGATACTCCAAGAAGGAGCTAACAACAGTCTCACACCGAGGTGGCTGCCAGCCGGAATGCACCATTTCTCGGCCGAAATAGGTGCCTACGGGGGCCTCCGGGGCTGCCAAGTACCGCACGAGGTCCGAGCCAGGGTCGTCGCTCATGGGCATGCCAATAACTTTCCTCCGAGGTAGCACCAAGTGCGGCGGCACCGGAGGTGGTTGGCAGTTCATAGCTTGCTCGGGGTAGGCTTCGTCTGGGATTGGCGGTAGGGCGCGATGGAGGGGGTGTCGGCCAGCAAGGACCGGTTTGTAGGACACTGGTAGGTTAGGTACTGTATCTGGACCGATGAGTTGCTGGTTTTCCCGGACGGATGAATGGATTGGGAGGTGCACTTCCTGCCTGATGAGAGGCTCGGAGTTGAAGGCCTTGCGGTGGCGAGCCCCAAAGCTGATGGCAGCTGGGTCCGGTCTCGGGATTGGGTTTGGCTTCGGGGTCGGTGTCAGGCTCGTGATGGGCTGCGGCCCACGCAAGTGTAACCTTCCTCCGTTGGCTCTTCTGACGGGATTCGTAGCAGTCATCAAATTCCAGTCCTTCCTGATGATGCGATGAGGAGTTGGCATGGTCCTCGGCCCATGCAATCTCGCTTTTCCCCCATGATCTTCTCTGGATACAGGCTTAGTGACCTCAATGAGATTCCAGTTTCCTCTTGGGGGTAGTTGGGGCTCTTGCAAGGCCCTCGGGCCACGCAATGCCATCTTTTGCTCGTCATGTCTGCCTCCAGCACCGGTGGCAGTCTTGATGTTGTCATGGGGCAGGCTCAGTCTAGGCCGCCTTTTGTCGCATTTACTGAGCGCTGGGTTTGCGCTGCCTCTCAACTGGAATAAGGCTCTTACTCCCTCATGTGCAGCAGGTTTAGCACTTGTGGTCTTGTGCTGCTTTACCTTATTAGCATGAAATTCGCCGTCCACAGCTGTAGGTGTACTAACATAGTGAGGAGGCTGGTAAATCTGATCCGTTGCCCGTATACACGGTTCGGTGTGGCTGAGACCCTGGTTAAGGTTACTGAGGTTATAGATTGGGATTCTCTCCAAGCATTCACGGTTTCACTTACTATCCGGCATCGGAAATGGTCCAATCCAATATGACGCACAGGTGTGGCGGATGTGTTTTTGGCGGCTCCTTCCTCATTCTGAGCTCCCTTGTACAGCTCCTCGCTGCTCGCCTGGATATGAGAGCAAGTGGTGGGTTTCCTGCTTTTTGAGGCGACGATCAAGCCGGAGCGAATCTCCTTTAGACGATGTTGCTCCTCCGCATGCCCTTTATTACTTCTGGCCATACTCGCCTCTAGCCTTCTCGTCCTGCATTGCGTGCAGATCTCGTCCTTTGTGCTCTGTAGATATACAGGCTGCTTCTTGCAGAGCTTATGCTTCCCGTTCCAGTGAAAAATTGGCGGACTGCATCGAGCCTCTCGGAACTTTGTATGCCCGCACATTTTGAACCCCGTTCTGGTAAATGTGCACATGTTGATTGCGAGGCGCAAACCGAAGCTCAAACTACGAGAATTGCTTGTTGATGTTTGGTGTAATGGGACCGACAAGTTTTGCTGCGTTGAAAGCTTGTGCAAGATGCATGAATGTGTTGGTGGCTGAAGCTCTGGCTGCAATGTTGTGATGCTCGATAAAAGGTCGATGAGCTTGATGGCCCCAGTACTTTGATACTTATAATCACCTGTTGCTATCGATGTTCACTGAACACCGACGCTCCCCTGGCATATTCGACTGCCAGTTGTCGTTGCCATGTTGACGCTGGTGTTCATCCAGGTTAGGAACAGTGATACTGTTCATCGTGGTGAACAGCAATAACACCGTAACAATAGCAACCATGCGTATGCCGTCATGGAATAGTTGACGGTCGCCCTCGGGGAACAGCCAACCTGGAGCACCTTGGATATATTGGATTGAACAGTGTAATAGACCTGCCGTTCCTCTCATCTTCCATCATCATCACAACTCATCATCAGAGTTGGACTCAGCCACGTACGTCGAGAGTGATATCCCACAACCGAACCGTGCGTGCCGTTCAAGATGTGCTTTTATCGCACGAAGATGTACAAGGCCTGCGGGCATACTGAATTCCGCCGGTTCATGTGCAACCCAGTGCCCCTGAGCATCAACGATGACAAGTCGGATCTTGACCCCAGCAGGCAGGCCAATACCAAGAGCGGTTTTGCTTGCGGAAAGCAGCCCGAACATGTCAATGACCTGGAGCTCGGTCATTGTGGACATTGCCCCCGCAACAAGAGAGAGCCAGACAAAGGAGCGGGACGAGGGAGGACGAGCTTTGGTAAAGAACAAAGCCGTAAGGGAGCCGGAGTCCAAGTCTTCGTTTCGGTAAGTGAAAGGGACAGCAACTTGGCTGATGTTCCAGCGTTACTGACGGCCGATGGTTAGAAATTGGATGCCGACGAGCCTAGGCAGAATGAAAAGACCATTGATAATCTAACGGCCCAAGCTTGTTTTCTTTTAAGTAAATCCATGATAGTTAAGCTAAGATTTGGGGTTGCTGACCATGAATTTCCAGCAGTACGATGCCGAAAGGCCTGAAAATGACGACAAGACCGACAATGTTCAAATGCTACCTGGTGATGTAGTGGAAGAGCGGCGTCTCTTCAAGCAAAGGATCGCGGAGGCGGCTGAAGAACGTGGACAGTTTCGTGAAGAGATTGGTAAGGGCCAGGCCAAGACCAGTTCTTTGCTCGACGCCGTCAGGAGCCTGAGCGACCATTCCGCCGAGCTGGACAAGGGCAGCACCCCAGCTGTCATCACTACCGATTGTCCGACCACGCCAAAGGCAGTCAACACAGACTCAACTCCACGTCCACCACGCCATGCCCATCAACATCATCTGTCGCATTCGGTGACCAAAGTTCGTCGGGATCTCTTTTGCTGGTAAGGGTAGGGTGCGGTCCATGGTCAACGCCTTCAACAGCAAGCGCCATGTCAGCCCCGTGATCAGCTCTATGAACCACAAGAGTATGGTCAGCACCCTGGTAAGCACCACCAGCCGGCAAAGCGAGCCTCAGGAGCCAACGAAGCCACAGCCTCCCGTTTCTGTCAAGAACAAGCAGTCGAATGGCCCGTCTCGCCGGCCTCTGCCGCCTGGGCTCTGCTCCGACCCCCAGACTCTTCCCAAGGCCGCAAATCTTCAGGTCCTTGCGAAGCACCGGTTCCATAGACTGGTGGTGTGCGTTCCTGAAGAGTCCACTTGCCAATCTCTCGTAGTTGCGAATTCGACCGCCAACAACATCGTCCTCCGCCGTGCAAAGGCCATCAAAGTGTGCAACCTTAATGCTTTCCACTGCCCAGTCCTGAAGCCACGCTTTGGGCTCAAGAGGAAGGTGTTGGCTCCCCCGGTTCCCAAACATTCGACGCCACCGGTAGCTGTACCAGGGTCGAAGTATGTGGATCTTGGACGGCGCAGGGTATCAAAGATGGAGTGGTATTTTGTCGTTTGATCGGCGAATCTGTCGTCGCTCATCGTCGCTCAGCCGTGTCAGGGCCTATGGATGGATTGTTTTGAAGCAACGGCTTGGGCGTGATTGCATTGTGTACTCGAGTAAGGCACGAGATGAAAGATGGGATGACTTCCCTACAAATATCGATAAGAAGGGAAGGTGCGATCGGACGGCAAATTCAGGCAGCGGGGATGCATGACGCAGCACCTGCAGAGTTTAGGCCTCCATCTTTTCCACTTAACCACATCCTCCATAATCATCCCATCTTGCTACAGGTAATCAGATCGACGAAGAGCTCTGCCGTTTGAAGGCAGAAACTGCCGCTGTATTTACCGGACGAAAAAGGGCAGTCCATCATCTAACTCATAAGCAATCTTTTCTCCACCTCCAAACGCTTTCTCACCCTGCCGCCTGACAGGAAACAGTTAAAAGGACACTCACCCCTAGTAAGCCTTCCTTTATCCATCACCAACAACTCTCAGTTACTCCAAGTTACTGACAATTGCTCAAAACTACCTCACAATCACCTCATAGCCCTCCACAAGCACGCACGCTGAACAACTCTCAGTTAATCCCAATCACTGAACAAGCACTCACCAAACACCCACAAACTCCCGCAAGCGCACTTGCTAATACCCAAACAACTTGACAAACCCAAAACCCATCAACATCCATAAAAGGCACATACACCATCCAAGATGTCTCCCCAAGCTCACACCAACAACAGCGACGCCTCATCCTCCTCTCGTCATCCACCAACACAAACAACCCCAACAACCCCAGCGGAAACACCCCCAACAGCAACCCAACCTACGGCAAACAATTCATAGCAGCCATGACCCACGTCCAAGCCCAAGTCCACGGGCGAGTCCAGTCCGAGATGCAGGAGTGGCGTCACCAGCCCGCGGACCCGACTCGGGACCAAGTCCTGGCGTATCTGCACGAGCACGTTGCGGAGCGCGGTCAGGAGTTGATTTGGGAGCACATGTTGGCCGAGACTCAGGAGGTATTCTGGGAGGGAGTGCGGGCTCGGGCTCAGGCGCAGGGTCGGGAGGAGGAACAGGTTGCGGCGAGGGAGCAGGTTGAGCATTGGAAGCAAATGCAGGCGCAGGCTAGTGAGAAGATTAGGGAGATGATGAGGGAGTTTAGGGAGAGTGTTGCGAGGGAGCAGGAGGGGGCGAGGAAGTAGAGTCCTAGAACTCTTGCACCACACTTGGTCCATGTTTACGCTACACAGCACCTTGAGTCCGGAGGATTCTTAGAGGGAATGAACAGGCGCTCATCTGATCTTTGAGATAAGCAGTGTATCTCTTTCTTGGAAGTTGCTCGCAGACTGTTCTTCGGACAGTAATCACGGTCACTACCTGTAGGTTTGCGAAATGGAAAGGAGAAAGAACTGGAAGGTGAAGAAGTGGTTCAAGATGGATGAACATTTGGAAGTGGGATATAACGGTTAGCTATCTAAGAGTATTTGCTCTCCCTAGCTGACTCTAGAAACTCTAGAAAGATCATGCCCCGCAGCCGCAATACAAACCACTGCATGCCTTGACTTGACTTGACTCACACGTACACGTACCGCGTCCATAATGACTCCTCCGTCGCCAGACATCATGACAATGACAGTTCATGACAGTGAAATGTATGAGTGAGTGTGAGTGAAGACTTAATAGGACAGCTACTTTACGTTACCTCTATCAACATGAACTCCAGCCGTCTCGCGATTTGCCCTTTGATCCTCAACATCTACCTCCCCCTCCGTACCCTAACCAGCACCTTAAACTACCATCACAAAACCTCCAGAAGCTTAAGAAGATGACACCCCTAAAAGCCTACACATCCGCCACCTCCCCCGACGTCGACCAGCACTCCTCCTCCTCCTTCGTCGCCCGCCGCCGTAGTCAGCATGCCACATCAACCAATGGCACAATCAACAACACCAACGGCACAAACAGTACTTCTTCCCCCTCATCCAATGGCAGCCCATCTACCCCCAACAACCCCTCCGCCGCGTCCACCTCCTCTTCCGCCTCCCTAGACTCTTCCACGTCCAACAGCAGCGGCACAGACGTAGGAGACCTCGGAGGAATTATAGTAACCACCACCATCACCACGACAACAACTACTCATAACGCTGGCTCGCCTTTGACGCCGATCATGACTGGTTCTGTGATCACGGCGGGACATGGTAGTCTGCCTTTGTTGAATTCGGGATCACCTGGACCTGGTTTGGGTGTGTCTCGAGGCCAAGGCCAAGGGGGAGGGAGGGGGACAGGAAATGGTAGAGAAGCCAGTAGAGGTGGAGGAGGGGGCGGGGTTTTTACAAATGGTAGAAACCAAAGTTACACTGTCGTAGGGCAATCTATCCCTGATGGTGGTGGAAGAGGAAGAAGAAGAGGAGGAGGAAGAGGTGGAAGAGGAGGGAACTACCCACTGGCAGTTTATGATGGCCCACCCGGAGCGCCGCCTTCATTACCTTACCAAAACATACAACTTATACCAACAGTGCGCCTGGTAGAGGTGGCGGGACTTTTGGCGCTGCATATTACCAGAACCGCAATGTAAATCCAAGCAACGGTTCTCCTAATGGTTCTCCCAACCGTGGCGGCAGTGGAAGAGGAGGAATTGGAGCCCCGGTTTACTCAGCCTTTACTCAACGGGGTATGGCCGCCGCTGCCGCCGCTGCAGGTCGTGGTCGTGGAAGTAGAGGTAGAGGGGGTCACAACGGAGCGGCAGCGCCGCCTGTGCCGGTAGGATTACCTGATAGTTATTGGACGGCAAATGGTAATAGTGCAATGACTACGGGTGCAAGTCCGAGTTCCAATTCCAGTTCGAGTTTGGGTCTGAGTTTGGGTCTGAGTTTGGGTTCCGATGGTAGTAACTCTGGGGTTGTACATGGGGCTAGTGGTGGCGGTGGAAGAGGAGGATCTGGGGGAGGCAGAGGAGGGACTGGAGCTGGGTCTGGAGGTAGAGGTGGACCAGTGACGAGAACTGAAGGGGGGACAGTGGGAGGAGAATGAAGCCATGAACATGTATAGAATTCTGAACCAGAATGGAGAATAATACAGTTCTTCGTACCTCTTTTGCGGTAATGGACATGCCCTCTCCTAAGTTTCAATCGCTGCCTGGACTAACGAGTTACTGTGTTGTGTATCAGCCAGTGTTCACCTACCAGTGTTCACCAACACTGCTCAGCCTTTCTCGACTTAAATGTACTTCGCTAGGTCCTCATGCTCCATAGCTCCTCGTGTTCCGTGCAATCTGATCCCCTCAAAACATGCGGCATCACACCACATCAAATCACCATTTTTTCATCGACTGCTCCTGTCTTTTTCTCGGGCATCGGGAGCGATAGATATTGATATGCTTGAAAAGTCCGTTTCTCAATTTGAAGAGCTGACGGCACCTACGACAGGTTCTTCGGGAGAGTGAGGCTGGCCCTGGTGGCGGCGGCTTGCATTTGGGAGGTTGTTCTTGAGTAGAGCTTGTCGGTTGTTACTTCAGCTGATCTCATTCAACGTTGACCGGACAAGGAATGGGACATCTCTTAAAGGTCACCAAAACTATTGGTTTCGGAGCTACTGGCTTCAGAGCTACTGGCTTCATAGCTATTGGCTTCATAGCCATTGGCTTCAGATGGGTGTTCCGCCAAGTGCCTTTCTCTGAAACCCCGGCTGAGATTGAGGTGCCTAAAAAGCTCGTTTCTCGATCCAAAGACTTGATAGCACTTCCAGCAGGTTCGGCGGGAGGGCGATTGGGACAACTTGGGCTTGGGAGCCTCTTGCTAAACGGGGCTTGCCGGAATACTCGGTGTCTTCTTATGCTTTTGTCGTTTTCTCTTTTTGGTAATGTTGACGATGGGGTCGGTGGAGAAAACCGTGTAGACCGAGGAGATGGTAAGAGATGCCGTGGGATTTGGGCGTCTGTACAAGTTTTCGACTACTCGCTTGGCAAAGTGGTAGCCTGGAATCCAATCGTGGACGTAGTCAAGCAGGTTTTCGAGTGTGTTAATCACCCACGGTACTTCGGTCTTGTTGACTTCTGCCGTGGCTGCTTTGTCCTGGGACTTATTCTTGTTGTTCTTCTTCTCCATCGTGGGAGCGTCTTCCACCGGTGGAACGAGATCCAGAAGGGGAGCTTTGACCTTGCCGCAGCGCTGGCCGCATGCGTGACAGTTCGGTGACATGTTGGTCGTTGGTCTGTGGACGCTACGGTCGCGGTCGTGATCGATGCTTGTTAGAACGTGCTACATTGGCTTCTCGGCAACATGACGAGATTAGCAAATAATCTGTGCTCAGATTATGGGAGGACGTACCGAAGAAAATCGGGAAAATCGGCCAACCGTTCTATGCAGATGTGTTAGAATCAAGAGGTAGGCATTTGCCGGACACATTTGACCCTGTAGAAGCGGTTGGCTACTACCGCCATCGGAGCGGTCGCTGTTATAAGTCGAGGAATCGGGAAGTCGCATGCTTCACGAGTTGAAAGGCCAGGAAACCACCGCAGAGTTCGTTGACGGAGCTCGCCATTGCCAATAATGTGCTACGTGCTTGCTTCAGTAAGGCGGTTTCCGCCTCCATCGTGACCTCCCAATACTAATAGGTCGAGAGTTTGCGCTTTCCAATTGTTCGCGTTTGGAGTTCGAGGATTGAGAACCTTGATGGCCCTGGCGTTGGAGGGCTCGGAACATTGTTAGGAAGGAACACCCATCTGCCCTTCAAATTAGCAGCCCCTTCAATCGAGCTGTAAAAGGCCAAAAGCTCTTTCAAAGAAACCTTCAATTGAGCACCCAAGAAGCGCAAAGGCTCAATTCCATGCGATGTTGAAGGACCCAAGTGTTCTGTCGCTAACACCTAGGGGTTAGGGTTATTCATGCTACTTTGCAGCTACTGGTCACTCTTGGCAGTCTTTGGCACCACAGGGGCCCGTCCAACATCGATGATGTCACCAATGTTTCTCCTTCCCCTTCCGTTTCGCTTTCGAGCCATTCTTGCCCAATTCAAACGTCCATTGCATCTCGACAGGAACATTTCCTTCTACAAAACGTTTGTCCGAATCTCGATGAGCCCCACGTAAACGTCATTCTCTTTCCCGGTACAAATTCGCCCATAAAGCGCTCCCTTTTACGATTCTAGACCTCCTGATCTTCCATCAACACCAACACCACAACCCAAATCAACCACCACAACAAGACCAAACCCGCAATCACCAACCCAATTAAATACATGCACATAACCTCCCGCCTCTTCTCCCTCCGCCATGAAGATCGCCATCACAGGAGCCCGCGGCACCGTCGGCAAGGAAGTCGTCAAGCTCTGCGCTTCCCAAGGCCACGCCACAGTGCAAATCGACCGCACCCACCAAGACCCCGACACCTCGACGCCCAACACCGAAATGCGCACCGCCGACTCAGCCAACGACTACGACGCCTTGCTTAAAGCCTTCAAGGGCTGCGACGCCGTCATCCACCTAGCCGCCATCCCCAACCCCGTCGACAAGGACGACCACCTCGTGCACTCCAATAACGTGTGCGCGGCCTTCAATGGCATGCGCGCCGCTGCCGAGCTGGGCATCCACAAGTTCTGCTATGCCTCCTCGGTCAACGCCATTGGACTCGTGTACTCCAACCAGCCGCTCAAGTTCGATTACTTCCCCATCGACGAGGAAATCAACCAGGATCCTACCGATGCATACGCCCTGGCTAAGCAAGAGGCCGAGACGCAGGCGCGGTCCGTGGCGCGCTGGTTTCCCGGCATGAAGATTGCTTGCTTGAGGATTCACCAGGTGGCGCCCAAGAAGGATGTCGAGAAGGACTATCAGGATGATAACGAGGTGGCGGTTAAGCAGCTTTGGGGGTGGGTGCATCCACAGGCGACAGCCAGGGCGTGTCTGGCGGCTGTGGAGAATAGTGATAAGTTTGAGGGCGCAGAGGTGTTTAATGTGGTTAGTCCTGAGAGGTGTGTCGTTGGAGAGGATGCCAAGTTGAGCAATGAAGAGCTGGTCAAGAAGTATTGGCCTGATACCAAGATTAAGGGGGATATTTCGGGGAATAAGGGGTTCTGGGATGTGGAAAAGATTGAGAGGGTGTTGGGGTGGAAGCATGAGGAGAAGGAGTGACTGCGCTTGGGGAGTAAGTTGTGATGAGGTGGTACACTTTAGCATGCGGTTATGAATAATGAATTACACGTTTCACGTTAGTTGGCTCTGAGCCATGCGATCAGTCCTGTGATGTCCACATGTGTGATCGTTGTGGCCGATACTGTCACCCGAGATGAAGATGTCATGACCATTGCTGAATGTAGGCAACGAATCCATTCCATCGCGGACTTAACGTCCTCGCTTATCTTCTAAATATATTCGACCGGCGAATCTATGATTGCCGTAGACATTTCTCGACTGTTGTTGAAAGCAGGCAATTGATGCGAACTTTCAGGCTCTTGTCCCTTTATCCTTTTCACATTCTCCAGCAGCTTATTCGTCCCTACGATCTCTTAGACTTACGTCTTGCCGTTTCCAACACCCAATCATGCTCTAAAAGCTTGAGCAACATGAGCATCACTACCTTTTCTCCCCACTTTATCACCCTAGAGTCGTCGCCGGCCAACTTGTGCGTTGACGGTCCGAGTAATGAGTGACGCTGACACTACTTTGAAAGTCAAGCAAAGTGACTTTGGGGCCAAAGTTTGGAATGATTGGGCGCTCAGCTTCCGTATCTGCCTTAAAGCCTTGTACGACTCTGCAAAGATGTTGTGCACAGTTACGCATGGAGGATGAAGATGGGGTCGAGGACCAAGGAGACGGCGTCTTGACAAGTGGCTGAATTTCCTTCTACATTTGAGACAGAAAGATACTCGGATGAGAAAGGCTCGAGTGAGGGTACCGAGTATCTGTGTGACCAATCCCGCTTCTGCAGTTCATCTTCATAAGTGGGATAATGGAAGCCAGCAACCATACGTTACGACGTACATGTAGTTGGTGTAAAGAGACGAGTATCTCTGGTCCTATGGGTCGGATGGATGGTGTTCAAAGATGGCGTTTCTTTACGTATTCCCCCCTAAAAGGAACGAGACCAAGTATCTAAAGCTTTTGCCCGCTGTTTCTCTCCTTCTCTTTTCCATTCTAGTCCAGTCCCCCTTTCATCATCGCCCAAACCTCTGCTTAGGTGCTCAGGCTACCCATACCAACCAAGCCCCAGACAGCGACACTCCGACCAAATTCATCGAATCCGCCAGACAGTCCATCGACTCATCGACTCATCAACATGAAGCTTACTACTGCCGCCGCCCTTTTTCTTCATAAGCCTGCCTCTAGCTACCACACCGCCCCTGTCCTCGTTCCCGCTCCAGCGGCCCCTGATGAAGCATCGGGATACCGCATCGCCCTCCCTCCCCGACCTCGGAAGTTCTCCACCGTCTCTTTTGAAGCCGCCAAAGCCGACTGCCAATTCGATTCCGGGCACGGTCTAATTGATGGGTGCGAATTTGGGTTGCGAAAGGGGTATGCCATACCTCCCAAATACAGAGAACATATAATCGTAGGTAGTATAGAATGTACGCTGTGTTTCTGTTCCTCTAATTACAAGAAGTGTTGATTTGTAGGCACAGGTACTGACAACGATGATTGAGACAGCAACTGGGAAGGGCGAGTCGGGGCTTGAGACTTGGGTCTCTTTACGATTTAGGATTTGGGATGGGATTTTTTTGGAGTCGAAGGGACGAGCGGTGACACTTGATTTCGTTCTGATATATCGTAAATGGTGATAGCGAGGAGTTGAGCATTTATTTTCGGAACAAACTTCTTCGTGATCATATATAAGGTACCTAGCGGTATAGTGTCTTTTTCGTTTATGTCTGTCTGGTCTGCCAATTTTGTTCAACTACCCCAGGACCAACGATACTTCCTATAATCATCAAGAAAGGAAAAATGATCTGCAATACAGAGTTGATGATTTCGATAAGATGCATCGTGTACGTTGAATGATTATATATACAAAGAGAACAAGAAAGAAAACAGATGGCGCCCGAACAAAAAGCAAAAGGATTCACAGAAACCTGTAAGTTTAAAAAAAAAAACAGTCCAAAAAGGATGTTGAACCCTCCCTCGGTAAGGATCGAACTTACAGCCTCCAGATTAACAGTCTGACGCGCTAGCCAATTGCGCCACGAGGGATGGGATTATATTATCAGTTGTTGTAACGGTCGCGCTGGTGGTGGGTTTATTAACCCCTTCCCGGTGAAGTCTACTACCCACTTGTTGTATTGAACAAATCAATCACCATGATGTCGCCGGAAGGAAGTTTGATGCTAGCTACCTACATTTGTCTGGCTTCTTGTGTTGTCCCTGGCTGTTGGCGCATGTTGGGACTTGTTTTAGTTGCTTGTTGGTTGGTGCAGGTGATAGCGCTTGTTGGACTGCGCCGCCGCTATCACAAACAGCCAGTGATTGAGGCTTCACACGCCGAGGTCTCGACAGCTAGCTTTAAGATATTACGGCACCACCCATATTCTACTTTAAAAGTTATATGAAGCAGGTGAAGAGTAAAGCTTGAATGGTATGATCGATCCTTGTGCTTTTGGTAAGTAGAGACTAGTGTACAGAATTACGAGTGTGAAGCGAAACGAGAAGAGCAGAGAAAGAGACGAGACGCGCTTAACGACAAGTGACCAGAAGTAACGACAAGCATTTGCATTGTTCCCTTCGCAACGTGAAGAAAGTTCAGATAACGATGACCAAGTGGTTGAACGAAAAAGCTGATGGTTGATTGATTGATTGATTGATGTGATGACATACTTCCCCTTTCTGATATTATTCCCTTTTCTAATATAATTCCCCTTTCCGATATAATTCCCCTTTCCGATATAATTCCCTTTCTGATATAATTCCCCTTTCTGATATTGGTTTGTTTCCGGTCTGCGCCAACGCCAGCCAACGCCTGAGAACTTTTTTAATGTGTCTCTTCAGCCAAGCAGAGCAAGCAAAAACAACTCCCTTTGTGTGTTGCGTGTGTGTGATATAAACCCATCCAAACCTTCACTTTTAGTCGTCCTCCTACCGGCCCTCCTGTGCATCCTCCTACGTGTCGTCCTCCCACCACTTGACCATTCAACGGCTGATGATGATGTTGGTGATATCGATAGATTCCACACTCCAGATAATGATACGCGTCGTCGTGGCCGCTTAAGCCTGGCTGCTGTGCCTGGGGCGCTTGCGAGCGCTGCCGGTACCAGGGTGCATCTTCTCGTTGCGCTCGCGCTTGAGCTTCTCGTCGAGGACGCGGGCTGTTTTTTCTTGTCAGCGACCTTCTTTACTTTCCTCACCACCAAAGCCACGGCACAAAAATACGTACTAAGCACATCGTAACCGAACTGGGGAAACTCCAAGCACAAGCTCCTGAACTCGTCCTCGGCCTCGGCGCGCAGGGTGTGGGAGCGGGTAGCCCAGAAGTTGGCGACGGGGGCACGGATGGTGGTGTCGTCCTTGGCGGTGAACTCGTAGACGTAGCGGGCGTAGGCGATCTCGCCCTTGGCGGTCGAGTTGACGCAGTGGATCTTGTTGGACGCGAGGTTCTTGAGGTTGGTGAGGCCGAACTTCTCGGCGATGGTGTACACGCGCGCGTGCTTGAGAAGCTGCTCGCCCGTGAGGTCGACCTCGGGAATCGAGGGGTCCTTCTCCAGCGAGCGCTGGCCGGGAACCTTCTTGGGAAAGTAATCGCCTGTGTACAGGAACTCGAGGAAGCAGCCCATGGCGTCGATGTCTTCGGAGGGGAGCTCGATTTGGCGGGGCTTTTTGGGAAGGGATCAATTAGCTTTCTGTTCGGGCGGGTTGGGGATAAAGTGACGGAAACGTACAGTGCCATCATCAGTAAAGTCGGCGCAAGCCTCAGCGAACCAGGAGCTCTGGATGAGGAGCGACTGATGGGCAGTAAGGACGGCCTCCTGGTCGCCGGTACCGACGATCAAGGTGACGATGGGGCTCGACAGGTACTGGAGGAAGGTGACACGAGGAGGGGGAGGAGAGTCGGCGGACTCCTCAGCGAAGGGGAGCTCGTCCTTGTTGGCGGGCGCGTCGCCGCCCTCAGCAGCGGTCTCAGCAGCGGCACCACCCTCAGTCATCTCGACGTCGCCGGAGGGAGGGGCGGGAGAGTCCTCGATGATATCCTCGTTGTAGCTTTCCGACATGGTGGGCTAACGACAACGGGTGATGTTTAGACTAAAAAGCGAGGAAAACGGAGTCAGTTGTTGGGACTGCGGTTGACCTTGCGCTGCGCGTCGAGGAGTGTTGGGTGTGTGGATATTTTGTTGCTAGCTGCGGCGGCGCGCAACACAACTGAATGGTAAACATACTGGGGAGAGACAGCTGGGTGGTTGGACGCGGAGACAGAAGCTCTCTAACGCCTGACGGCGGGTTCGCGCGGCTCCTTCGTGTTGCGGAGTCCCCAATTGTACAGCTGCAGGTCCACGAAGCTTTCCAAGTTTCCAAGCTTGTGATTGGCTATTTTTGTGTACAAGAAGTATTACGCGACCAATACCGTACAACCATTTTCGTGACAGTTGGGAAAACCGAGAACGGGAACAGGAACATGTTGGTTACCAAAAGAGAACCCTGAAAGTGAGATTATAACGGTTGCGGGAGCTCGAGCTGAGCTTGATAGAGCTTCGATTGGGATGAGACAAGTCTCAATTCCATGCTCCGCAAGCGTCGATGTTCCAAGCTGTTTTCGAAAGCTTCAGACCACGAGAACGGATAACGTGGTATGTGCGTCAAGCCCAGAGGTGCTCTTGAGATGCTCACTGGAAAGACACCGGCGATAACATATTCACAGCCCGTATCACGACGTTGTTGAAAATATAACGAGAAAGCTTCGATGTCCAAGGACAGCTCAATTGACGCCCACGCTAATATGCTATTTGTTACCCATGTACCTAATCCATCACAATTCATTGCACTACGATTAAAATCAGCGCTGGCTTTGATCCGCCGTGTCCTACTGCCTCACGTTGCTTTGCAGTCCGCCCAAAAACCATTAACTCATCTCTCATATCCATATTCCCATGCTTGCCTCCCCCCCACCCCCAATACCCGGGCCGTCATTGCTACTGTCATCAGATCAAAAGTCCAGCTCACAATCTGCAAGCTTAGCACTGATTCTTCTCGCCCTCCCACTCCTCCTCAATCCCAACGCAGCCGCCTCCGCCGCCTCGTCTTTCTTAGTCACTATCAACGGCGTGGGCACCGTGCTTCTAACCTGGACCTTGACCTTTTTGCGGACAGCAAACCGTTCCTGGACGTATTGTTGTCCTTGTCCCTGGCCTTGTTCCTGACTCTGCTCTTTCTTAACCTGCTGCTGCTGCTCCTTCTTTTCCCCCGCAGGCGTCCCGCCCTTCTTCTCCGGCGCCGCCGACTTCCCTTTACTCTTACTCCCCATTCTCTCTCGCCAATAAACCCTCCCCCGCGCTCTCGCTTCCTCCTCAGCTGTCAAAAACCGATTAATCATTCTATGATCCAGAATACGCTCTTCCTTATCGTTCGGCCCGTATTTCTCCGTCTTGGGCCACATGTAGCCGTACAACTTCGAGTGTCGCTCACAGCGCGGGCAATGGGACTTGGTCAGGTAGGCGTTCTTCTGGACAAAGGCGGATGCGCAGTGGGTGCACATGATCCAGGCCGTTTCGGGCTCGGAAAGCAGGAGGGGCGTGAGGGTGTAGTCGCGTGGAACGCGGCCGGTGGGTGCTGCTGGTACTGGAATTAGGTGTTGTGGCAAGGCAGTGGGTTTCGCCGCCTTGGACTTGGAGGGGGTGGATTTTGTCGTGGTTTGGATTTGTGTGATTTGCTCGACTTGGCTGACAATGGACTTGACCGGGCTCTCGGTCTTGACAACCGGGGCGTCATTCTGGGCTGGAGGCTCTAGAGACACCGTTGTAGCCGTCTGCGAAACGCTGATCGTAGTCGTCTGCTCCGTCTTCTGCACCTGCTGAGTCCGAGGCTTTGGCCTATGCGTTGTGACCTGTGCTATCGAGACAACAATAGGCGGAGGAACAGGACTTGAAGGCCCCGAAATAAGGTTAGCTATGCTCATCCTATCTCGCACAGCCAAACGCTCAATTGTAGGGCGCACCACCGGCGGCTGTTCCTCTGTCGGCTGGCTAGACGGCGGAGTGAAAGCTTCCGGGACCTGCTGAACGGCAACCTCGTTGACGCCCTCTTCCTGCTTCAACACACCAATCGCTTGCTTAATAGGAGTCGGTTCTGGCGAGAGAATGATAGGCCCCGGGCTTTCGCTGCCCTGGGACGTCGCGTCCGTAATGTTGTCATTCGTCGTGCTAAACGAAAGAGGGCTTCTGCTCGTTTCGTTATCCGAACTTCCTCTGGAAGGCGCTGTCGAAAGAGCAATCGGGATAATCGGGTACTGCGTTGTGGTTCTCTGCTTTTTCGTAGGTGTGAAAGGGGGCGTACCCATTTCCAGCGCTCGTTTACGGCCCTCTGTCCCTGGTCCCTGCGCACCAGAATCCGTGGTAGACATTCTCTCCCCCAACATCATCTGGCTCTGCGACTTGCGCAAAACCCGCGGGCGCATATCGGGCGTCACTGAAGGAGTGCGCGAACCTGCCTGAAGAGCGGCACTTCCATATCGCCTCTTCCTCCGAAACGAATAAGGTGTTGATGAATCGGTCGACTGCTGCTGTTCTCCGTCCTCGATACTCTTCTGGACCACCGCCTCCCCGTCCACCGGCCTCCAGCCGTTCCTCAAGTTGCTCTCGCACGTCGCACACAAGCAGTCGCAATTGTTCTCGCCAAAGTAACTCTCGCTGTACGTAACGGTGATCTCCTCGCCGACCTCGATGTTCCTGCACGCAATGATCTCAATGCCTGCTTGCCCCCTCGTAATGAGCCTGGCATTCGCATTGCAGTCATGGTTGGCAAACCGCGCCGGGCCCATGAACAAGCTGGTGGACTTGCTCCTGCTGCTGACAATCAGACTAAAGTCCTTCTTGCGCAAGGACATTTCCAGTTCCTCCTCGGGCGTGATTACCACCTGAATGCCAGCCAAGTACTTGATTGTCTCGTTGCGCTTGATGAAGCGGCGGGCCGTGATGCTGGCCTCGTATGTAACGATCGTGTAGCGGTTTGTCGCATTGACCTCGAAGGGGCAGTCCGGGAGGTAGATGGACATGTAGCGACGCAGGTGGGCTTTAAAGTCATTTTGTTCTCGGGGGGTCTTGAGCGTGTTGGCGAATCTCTTGAGCCCGTCGGTCGCAAGCAGTTTCTCTTCGGCGGTCGAGATGTCGGGATCGACAATTAGGTGATTTTGGATGATTTTCGTGATCTCCTCCTCCTTGATGCCTCTAGATGGGTGGTAGGATGTGCGGTTCTTGGGGATGGTTGTCCAGTAGTACGCCTGCATGGGGCAGACAGGTTAGCGATCAATTCGTATGTCCAACCGCCAGAAGTCCGACCACAACACTGAGACGAGAAAGTACTCACATGATCAACGAGCGCATCCGTTAGGATATCATCGTAAGCCGCCAGTTGAGCAAGCGTCAACTGGTTCTTCTTCTTCCCACCAGTACCCGAGGGCTTCGTCATGGTGCAAGGTCGGCCACCGACAGGTGTTGCGACAAGGAGAGAATTGGTAGAAGTGAATGATTGTATAGGATAACGTCGTTGTTTAAGTCCTCTGTTGGTCGGTTGATCTGTGTGTTGGTAAAGTTGTGAGGGGAAAGGACAGTGCCAGGTCCACCTCTGCAAACAGAGAAAGAGCGGATTGCGATATGCGCCAAAGTGGTCAGATCGGGTATATCGAGTCGATTCGGTGGATCGGATCGCAGAAGGAGCGGAGCGGACAAAGGCGCAACCCTCTCTCTCGTCGTTTCCGTCAGCAACAATTGAGAGGAGGCTGATCCCAAAGTGAATAATGCACTCTCTCTTCCACCTCAGGTTGCACGATTTGTCTGCAACGACAGCCAATTGCAGCCAATGCGACTATGGCAGTGGCTGACAATATGACAGGCGCAGTTGTGTTGGTAAGATGGTGGTGATAGCCAAGGTCAGAGTATATTGATGCAGCTTTGATCGAAAGGGACAGACTTGTTGCAGTTGTGGTTGACGGGAGGTCAAGAAACGGGAGGACAAGGGACGTGGTGGTCGCAAATGAGGTTGCAAAGAAGGGCGAGCGGCCGAAACCTTGGGGAAGCTGAGAAAAGACCTGGGGATGGGGGAGATGGGGGAGGTCAAGGTTGTTGGGTGAGTTGGTGGTTGGTCAGACTGTGTCAAGGAAATGGAGTGGTCCGGCGAGACGGGTTGCTGTCCTATGTTGGTTGTATTCTTGTATTTGGATGGGGGAATTGGGTTCGGCCGAGCTGTGCGAGTCCTGCTGCGAGTGTGTGACTGCATGCAAAGTGCAGTGGTGTGGGCTTTGCGGGCTTCTTGCTTTTTTGGCTGCAGAGATGAGGCAATAGCCTTGTTTGTTGAGGACCTTTTGTGATAAGCAACCGGTGAGCAAGTGTTTGAAGATAAACTGCTCACTCCGATGGAGAGATAGAGATGATGTTCACAAAAAGGGGAGAAACAAAACAAAAGGGGCCCGTTATTGGGTCGCAAATCTTCCACTCTTTACTCCTCTTTTCACATTCCCACTCGTTGCCGTGGTAGCGGTGGTCTAGGCAAATCCCAAGAACACAATCGGAGAGACAGCCGACAAGAGAAGCGGGGAGAGACGCCGTGAGACGGCCGGCCATCCTGGCTTTTTGGAAGCTCTGTTGCGCTGAGAATGTCATTGGTTGTTTGAATCCATCGCCTCACGTCTGGAATGTCTTCTAACCAGATGGGGATCATGGTTTGGGTCTGTGCCAAAAGTCCAAAGAGACCAATCTCACTGTTTGCAGGTTGGCTCAGTTGGTACAAGGGCGTCCTCTTCGCAGCCGGCTTCCAGAAAGCCACCACAAAGTCACAATTCCGTAATCCAGATCAGTCTCAACGTCCAAGTTTAACGCACTATTGTCTCCTGTTCTTGTCTTTTCTTTTAGTTACCCGATTTCCCTTCGAAGCATCGACTCTGTCTCAACTCTCTGATTTTCCGAAGACCAAAGACAAGTCCACATGTCTTCCATCTCAACTTCGCACTCCAAAAGTACTTCCCCATTGGGTTAGTCTTTACCAATTTCCTTGTCCAAAAAGCAGCCAAAGAGCATGCATGAGTCTCCGCCCTCCCGATTGGCTCCGCAGTCCGCACGCCAGTCTTCTGTCTCTTTCGCTGCATTTTGGCGCAGAGGCGCGTCTCCAGTCCCCTTCACGCGCGTTGCTTACCTAATACGGGTACGTACCTCTCGAGTCCAATCGGGCCCGCAAACAATTTTCAATGGGGTCCCCGCCAGCGGGCACGACCGACGACAGCAGCCGGCCGGCCAGCCGGTCAATCAATCGATACGATACGGACGGACGCGGCACTGGTCCGTGATACCTTGACAGCCCCGATAGCCTTCCGCCGTCCGTGAATCCCCATTCAGTTGCCGGGTTTCGGTCTTCTCGACAGCCCAACCTACTACAGTCACAGAGTAACGGTTGTTGCCCAAGATGATTCAACTAAAGGTCTGCTTATTTCGTTCCCTTGTGCAGCTGTTATTGCAGCTAAAATGTTTTTGGGATCGTGAGTGCTGACCATGCGACTGACTGTAAACAGACGATGCTCAACTGCATCGACAACTCGGGCGCTGCCCTTGTTGAATGCGCCATGGTTGTCGGCCAGAAGAGGCATGCTTCTATCGGTATGCGCATTTCGATATTCCCTCACATACGATCGTCGACGTCGAGCATTTCCACACGAACCACCCGATCCCTCATTCTCGAACACATCTTCAACATTGTCGTCGCCGTCCCCATATTCGTTCTTATACCCGACCTCATACCCGTCCTGGTCCTGTCCTGGTTCTGCTTGTGCGGCGCGAGGGAACCTCTGATCCTATACACCCGTCATGTCATGCCCAACCCTTCCGACCCCGACGAGTGTCAACCCGCCTTACGATCCCATCCTATACATCTACACACTCGCCCTACGCCCTGCTCGTCTTCCTCCCCGTCCCCTCACCCTCTCCTCGCCTCTTCTCTCACTTGACCAACCACCACCTGCCCACCTGCCCACCTCTCTCCGTCCTCCTCCTCCCTTCCTTCCCTCTGCCCCCTCCTACACCAAACCCACATACTTACAAAAAACAGGCGACAGAATAGTAGTAGTAGTCCAAAAACAGCGCGGCGCCGACTCCGCCGGTATGGCCGCCTCCTCCGCCGCCACCAAAGTCAAGCGCGGCGACATCCGGCACGCCGTAGTCGTGCGGACCAAGCAAAAAGTTTCTCGGCGCGACGGCTCTGTCGTCCGTTTCGATGACAACGCTTGCGTGCTGATCAACAAGGCCGGCGACCCGATCGGCTCGAGAATCAACGGAGTTGTGGGCCAGGAACTACGCAAAAAGAAGTGGAGCAAGATATTGAGTATGGCGCCTATGCAGGCTTAGATGCTTGGGTCTGGGCACATAGAAAAAAGGGGGAAACATACGGAAGGGAATGGGGAAAGGATGGGATGTACGATGGAATGTACGATGGATGGATGGGATGAAGCAAAAATAAGAATACCCATGAAGACATGAGCCTGCTGGAGCGTTTGTGAGCCGGTGAGCTGGTGAGCTGCTGCTGTGCTAGTGACATGCTGGCCTCGTGGATGAGTCGCAGTGAGGATGTGCGTTGGCTTGGCTCTTGTTGGTTATGACGTGACATACGAGGAGGACAACGGCACATCGCCTTGCTGGGAGTCTGATGGAGCCATGGTCTGAGTGGACGGGTTTGTACGGATGGGCTCAGGATGGCCAGGCGAAAAGAGACTACGAGTATGACAGTACGACACTGTTCTCTAGACTAGATACGACGGCTTCTTCACCAGGCAACGAAAAACATCTCATCTACGACGATGCTTGGGATCATTTTGGGCACCGGCCACCTAGCAGCAGCAGCAGCAACAGCAGCAACAGCAGCAGCAGCCAGATAGCAACAACTACCATAGCCCACGTCACAGCAGTCGATCGAGTCTTACGGGTCACTTCAGTTCAAGACATATCATCCAAGCGTTGCCGTCTCAAACTGTGTATACTATTGTACTGTACTTTTACATGTCAAGTCAAGCAAAACAAGATCACCCGTTTTCTACATGTCAAATCGAGTCGAGCAAAGAAAAAAAAATCACAATGTCCATGTCACAAGTTCGTTGAGTCGTTGGCTGCACCCGTGTATATTGAAGTTATCCATCGAAATTCGTTACGAGGACCCTCTCAGACCTAGTGCCTAGCGAAAACATGAGAAAAAAAAACCAAACACCCTGAACCGCGGTCCTTTTAACCGTGTACTACAAACGCCGTTATAATGCAGTTTCCTTATGATCCCTTATGTTCGTGGTTATTACCATTTCCTTCCCCCTACCGCCTGTCCATCGCGTATCCTATGATAAGGATAAAGATCGACTAGACTGTGCCATTATTCCATTCCTCCTCCTGAGTGTCAAAATCCCCCTTCTACTGGTAAATGTTACCGCAATCGCAGCAGACGTAGAAGAGTTTCTGAAGTTGTTAACACTTGATTCTGCTGAGACCCCCATTCGTCTTCTCCCAGGGTAAGTCTTACCATGCCGGTTTCCGAAGTACGCTGCTGGGACTGGAAAAAGACGGCTTCCGGGTGGTGGCAGGCAGGGCATTCGTTGATGGCTCTTGGGAGCTAGATAGCAAACGAAAAAAGAAAAGAAGAGATTAGTCTCGATACAATGCAAGCCAAAGTAAAATGACAAGAGAAAGCCAAGTCAGTCCAGGCTATCGCCTCGCCTCTCGACCAAGCCCCGTCACCGGACGGATGCGCTGTGCTGTGCTGTGTGCCAGTCGTATGTGTGCTAGCGGTATCAAGGATGAATGAACCGTGTCGCCGTGATTATATATGCATTATAATCCTGTTGTTGTAATGTAGGGTATGCCGTAACCGTAACCGTAATCGCTATGATGTGACCGTAAAGCAAAAAGTCGTAACGTCGTGAGAGCGGGAGGAGATGCGTCGGTCGGTCAGTTCCTAGGCTGCCGAGACTTGAGCGGGCAACTGGGTTGACGCCGTCATCTCCATGTCTTTGTCGTCGAGCTCCATGTCGTCAAAGTCCATGGAGTCCTCCTCTTCCTCGTAGCTCTCGAAGGCGACCAGGTTGTAAAAGTACTCTTCGGCACGGAGCCTGCCCATGGCCTCCCGTTCGTTGTCGTTGGAAGCCCAAACATCGCTGTGGTCGTTCATGTCGATAGTGGTAGCGGCCATCTGGTCGTACAGGGACTCGCAGTCGCTTCCGGCCGACGATTCGGAGTCGGAGTGAGGGGCGGCGAAATGGTTGGAGCACTTCTCAATTTTGCCACAGCACTGGCAGTAGATGTAGGTCGATCCGTCCGCGGCGTGTCGGGGCAAGGTCGAGGTCGACGAAGAGCCGGCACCATCACCAACAGCAGCAGAAGAGACAACAGAAGAGACAACACCCACCGTGGGATCAGAGCCGACATCCTGCGTGACACCAGCGGTCTCGCCGGCAGCGTTGTTCAAAATGTTGCGGTAGATGCAAGTCGACGTGGCGGGCTCGGAAAAGTTGCAGGTGCGGCAGGTGAAGAGCAGCTTGTTCTCGTCTTCGGCCTCGCGGGGGTACAACATGTTGCTGCATTCCGAGCAGAAGCGGAATGTGATCTGCTCGAGGGGCTTCTTCTCCTTGGCGCCACCGGTGCTGGAGGGGGCGGGCGACGACATTTTGGTTGATGTGTGTCGTGTTGTGGTTGTGTGTGGTTGTGTGTGTGTGAGGTTGGAGAGTTGAAAGGATGTTTTGTGGAAGAGCGGGATGAAGCGAGGATGTTGTGCTCGGTTCGTTGTTGAGGTGGTGGTTGTTGGTTGTTAGGTGAATGGATGGATGGGTGGATGGATCGTTAGTTGAATGATTGACGATCAGGCTTCGAAGACAGGCTTTGTTCGCTGGGGTGGCGGAAGGATGCAAAAACTGCTAATCAAGTTGGAAGTTGAAAGTAAGCTAGTGACAGCAATTGGATACTTCTCAGCAGTTCGTGTAGTTTGTGAAGAGGAAGAGATTTGCCGGTAGGAAAGTGATCGTAGGAGAACGGTTTAAAAAAGAGAGCAGAAGGATGAGAAACGGAAATTGGAAAAGGAAAGCAGAGGGCAGGTGAAGGCACAGGAAGACCAAGACAGGGCGTGAGGCATCACTGCACTGCTGTAGTCACGTTCGGGGATCCAAGCGTGCCAACTGCCCACTGCAAGTTGCCCTGCAGTTGCCGGCCGGAACAGTCCTGGAACCTTGAAAATTGGGGCTCATGGCAGGGTGACAGGGATGTCCGCCACTGCCAAACCCTCACCGCCTTACCGCTTCAGGTTTGGGGTCGGTCAGGGGCAGAACGCTGCGTCTAACAGCCCAGTCAGACCGAAGTGTGTCTGCAGTCCATTATCTTGAGCTTTGCTGCCCGGCTGTGCATGAGCAATTGTTGCCTTCAGGTTCTCATGTCCGAAGGAAATTCGATATCAAACAGTTCGAAGCCGGACCCTGAAGTTCCATGAAATCATTAGAACATGATGTGTGCATAAGTGAGCGCACGATTCGGTCCTTTGGACAATATCTCTACAGTACCGTATAATTCCCGGGGATAGATTTTCAGGCATAATTTGTAGACTCGAGGCACCTCTGGAATTGCATGTGCTCGAATTCCCCTCTTAAATCCAACCCGTGAGGCATCCCGTACATAGATCATGTCTGTTAGGGCTTGGAAGTTGAAAATCTAACCCCCGGAATTATTGTACGGTAAGTATCTTCTTCGGAAGTGTCTGGTTCTGCAGGGTGTCATGTCTCATGTAAACGGGGCCATATCTTTTAGGTTTGCGTCTCCCGAAGACAGGAACAGTCAACAGTGACCGATACATCATCACAGCGCATCAGGGGCTTTTACACCAGTGACTCTGGAATCCACAACGACGTCATTGGGTTGACCACAGGCAGTTGTCAAATATCATGCCGGTCAGAATGATGTTACTCGGAATATTTTGAAATTTCATATTCTTTCCATATTATGGTTCAATCTTCCGCTATAGACATCCATCTCGATTTCCCTTATTTCTGCCCACCCGTGACCCAAGCCACAAGGGACAACAAAATCAGTGTGGCACCCACTTTATGCATGGAGAATCACGAGGCCCCAAGGGACTGTTGCGTGGGGTGTCCTGATGCAGCAACTGACGACGGATCGAGAAAGTGTGGATGGCTCAAAACCACAGCTGAGAGGTATTTGAAGAGGGGCGACGGGGATCATCGTGCCCATCCGATGCTACACGGCACAATGGGCCACAGGACCGGGCTGCAAGTTCGCATTCTCGGTTCCTGTCCTGTTGTCGAGAACCAACGGGACGGTACTTGCTCAGTTTCTGTCTTTGGAGTTTAGTCTTTGTTCGTTTGTGAGCTGTGACCTTTTGGATGAAAGCAAAGAGGGGAAAGCCAGAATTAATTGCTAGTGCAACTTGTATCAAGAGTCCCTCTTCCTAGGCCTCACTTCCATAACTCAACCCCAATTCCAAGTAGAAGACAAATATCCGACTCGGAGGAGTGGCACATGAGGACATCTCGACAAGGACAAGAACCTGTTGAGCTGCCACACCATCACACTAACAAGATGGTGCCCCTGACATGACAGCTTCCCCGGCGAATCCCCAATCATGGAACAGAAGGCGGGCGGTATCTTGATCCCGCTCCCCAGTCCCCGCCCGGCCGTCGTCCCCGCTTTTTGTGCCTTGTGAGATGTGGATCCTATCCGCCGCGGTCGTGACTGACGTCCCTGACGAAGAGAGTTCCATTGCCTTCGTTGCCTCGAGTCTTGGCTTGGAGTGCTGGATGTTTCTTCCTCTGTTCCTCCTTTCCCCAAAAGTAATCTAAAAAGTTGCATTCTCCCACTGCCAATTTCTCCTCTCTTCAATCTCAATCTCTTGATCGCAATCCGTTTTCACTTGAAGCCCTATTGCGCAAGCAAGTGTAGGTACGTCGTGATCCCAGTCGCTCGCTGGTTGATTCACTCGGGCTACGATCGCAATTCGCAAAGCGCACCTCGTATGCCCTACTTCAACCTCCTTGTTCTCCCTGTCAACGTCGCGATCGCAACAAGGCTGTCTACTTGACAACCAACCAGCTTACTGACCGCGAACCATATTCTTCTCCATTCAGAACCGACTCACAAACCAATTACCACCACCGAAACAGTCAAGATGTCCAACGCCAGTCACTCCCGTTACCACCTACTCCTCCTGCTCGAAGAACCACTGAACTAACACCCCTCCAGACCATCGAAACCGGTCTCCCCAAAGACTGGGAAGTCCGCCACTCCCAGTCCAAGAACCTCCCTTATTATTTCAACAGCGCGACCAAGACTTCCTGCTGGGAGCCCCCCTCCGGCACCGACGTTGACAAGCTCAAGATCTACATGGCCAAGTTTCACTCGTCTCCGGCTCAAAAACAGCAACAACAACCACAAGGAAAGATCAGGTGTGCGCATTTGCTGGTTAAGCATAACCAGAGCAGGAGGCCGAGTTCTTGGCGCTCGGTTCGTCTTCTCCCTCTAACTCTTCTCTCCCCTTACCCTTTTGGTTTGCCGATAGGGCTGCGTGTTGCTGCATGTTGCCTCCGGCGACCCTTCCAGGGAGGCTCCTGCGGAGTGCTGCTCGCTGCGCTCGATTTCAGTACTAACATTATATCAACACAGTCCAACATAACCCGCACCAAAGAAGAAGCCCGCCAAATCCTCGAGGGTATCAAAAAGAGCATGGAGCTCGAGTCTGAATCCGAGCCTATCTCCCTCGGCAAGCTAGCCCGGACTGAATCCGACTGCTCTTCTGCCCGCACGGAGGGAGACTTGGGTTACTTTGGGCGCGGAGAGATGCAGAAGGAGTTTGAGGATGCGGCGTTCGCGCTCAAGCCCGGTGAGATCAGCGGGATCGTGGATACGGCTAGTGGGTTGCATTTGATTGAACGGTTAGTCGACATTCCTTTTACTACCCGTAGAAGGAGGAGAAGAAGAGGAAGAAGGTGTGGTGGGGATTGTTTGGGGCGTTGGTTGCTGTTGTTTGGTGGTGCACTGTTCTGGCCGCCGCTGGCGATACCGAGTGACAATACCAGCAGCGACAAGAGACACAGGGAGAAGCCAAAGAGGAGGCCGAGGACATGAGACTGGGGAAACGACGGAATCTGACCAAGAACGAACACATTGCTGACAACGACACTGGGAACGGTACATATAGGCTCGAGTAGGATCCCGATACGCTGAAAAAACAACTAATGAGGACTACCACTGGGAGGGAACTGGCGGCAAAAGCGAGGATGCCAGTGTATGGAAGGCTATGAGATGACTTTTGCTTCTAGCGCGGCGCTTGTGGAGGGGAGGTACGAAGGGACGTAAGGACGAAGCGGAAGAGCAATCGAGAGAAGAGACAGACAAGACAGTATTGGAGTACGACTTTTACATCTAACCCAAAAAGTGGCGCAAAGGATACACTACGAAGCCTGAAATATTCAAGTTTTCCTGGTTGAACGAGATCGGAAAAATAGCCGGATAGGAAAAGCAGACAAAATAAGACATTTTCACAGGTTGAGACACAAACATTTCACCATGACATGGCTTGGCGCACAAGGGAAAGAAACAAGCGACGATATGATATGATATGCAGTTTACGTGATTCTTCAAGTACTTCCACCAGAGGCGATGATATTTCTTGTTCCATATAGGTATGCGTCGCTCTACGGCCACCCAACAACGAACCATGACAGCCATGTCGGATTCTATATAAAGTTGCCAACCTACGCTAAAATTCAAGTGATCTCTTTGCGATGTACCTCTAGGACTTGATAAGATTGGATTACAAAGGATTGGTACAAGTGAAGAAAATAACAGTGGATGTAAGTGAGCCGGTGGTCTTTACCTAGATAATGTTACAAGTCCCACTTTCTCTCTTCTCTTGCAGAGCTCTATGGTACCATGGTGGGCAAAAGAAAATGAAGAATACCTAGGTGGCCAGAATTTGGGACATATCAGACAAATATATATGGGAATATTCCGAAAAGTGTTAGTGACAACCTTAATGAGACACCACAAAGTAAGCGAAAGCAGTACCTGTAAAAAGAAAGGTGGAAGTGAAAGCTTGTAGAGGTAGTCTGGTAGTTCGAATGAGTCGAGGAAAAAAGGATATTTGGAGACTGTTGTTTGTGGAAAGCTCAGGATTGAGCCATTGAGCCATTGTGAAGCCTGGGTAGAGGTTGACATGATCAAGCTTGCTTGCTTGTCTATACATGCATGGTATTATGCGATAGGATATGGCCATGGGATGTTGATTATGTACTACTGTTTATTTCTACTCTAATAAGCTGAAATATTCTTTTTGTCTTTCTCTCCGCGGCGAAGTTCTCTTGACAGAGATTCAAGATCAATGGTCTGTGTGAATCCCCAGATCCAGGCTGCGAAATGGGTACTGTTGCCCTCCACAAAGCCAGACTGCGCACCAGATTTTGCCAACCGGCCCAAATGAACCGGTCCGTGATGGTTGACCCAGCAGATCCCCAAAGTAGATAGGGATAGAGGAAAACGACAATAAGAAAATGACCCGAACAGAAAACCGCGGGAGCCAGTGCTCGACCGCCAAAGTTTAGGAAATGGGTATAAGATATGATATAATGCGCACACAGGGAAACCGTACCGTACCAAACCGCCTAGGAAAACCGTGGCCGAAGCCAGTGACCGTGCCGTACCGACTTGAAAGTGAACCAAACGCCATTCCAGTCCTGGTACCACCAGAGGATAGAAAAGAGAAAACCTGACCTGGCTCGTGAAATCGTGAACATCAAGCATAATTCATAACCATGAATTCGTTCTGTTCATTCCGTTGTCCGTTGTCCCTTGCTAGTTGTGAATATGTTCTTCTTGGCTTGTGCCGAATGGTCTTTTGTACAGCCTTAAGCTAGCCAATGCTGCAGGCTGCGTTCCTTTCCCTTTTCCGATGAGCCTTTTGAGAAGTTTTTGTTCCTTTTGTTTTGAGATGCGTGGAAGACTGTCCTGTAAACCAGTGCTGCCACTCCTGTATGCCGTTATCCTTATCCTTTGACTGACCGACTGACCGACCGAGATATGCAAGTAGTGTAGTGTTGGTATGTACAACAAGGAAATCGTGATTAAAATGCGGAGAAAGAAAAGATGAGTAGGTAGGTGCTCAACCCCCCCAAGGAGGAGCATGTGTATGTAGGGTGGGTATATGAGGTATATCGATGGAATTCTGTTTGTTCTTCCAAAACGGTGTACCTCTAGGTAGGTTGTCGTAATTTTTGCTGGTATCTTCATAGGATCGTAAGTGTCCATATCTATCGTAGGTAAATTTAGGCATCATATGCCATAGGTAGGCATCGTATAAGTATCGTCATCGCCGGCGACGTCTGTCGTACGCTGTGTATCCTCAGGCCATACTCCCTCCGACACTCCCAACCACCCACTCAGCCAACGGCTTTATGCTTGCAAACCCTACTGTCATGACTCCCAACGCCATCATGGACAATGCCGAGTACGGAGCCGCATCGCTGCCGACCTCGTATAGATATGCGGTGCCCATGGCTGCCGAGTTGATACCAATCGTCAGACCAGCCGCTACCGTATGAGGGTCGTTCATCCCTTCTCCTTGTTCTTGTACCGGTGTGGCGGTGGCAGGTGCTACCGTAGGGGCCTGTTGAGCCTCGAGATCGAATGACCGTTGTCGAACGGAAGGAGGGACACTGAGTAACTCGGTCTGACTCGCCTTGGGTTCGGCCTTAGTTCCTTTTGGCTTGTCTTCGGTTGTCTCAGGGGTGGTATTGTCGGTAGATTGGTGCTGCTTGACCTTGACAAAGCACGAGAAGATCGTTCGTTCCAGCCAGTTGCCCAGCCCGAATCCCAGCCCCATCTGGAAGACAATCCCGCTTATGACTACCATAGTGGCGTTAAGGCTAGCGTCGCCTCCCATGGTAGCCATGACTGGAGCTCCCATTGCGATGGTGACACTGCGAGCTGTGAACGCGATGTTTCTGTTGGCGGGGGCGAGGCCGATGGCGCGAGTAAAAAGAGGACCCAAGGCAACGTTTCCCATGGCGAGGATGGACGAGACGATAAGAACGGTTAAACCGGCGCGGGAGAGTAATTGGCGGCGGTACTCGTATAGCTTTAAGCCCCAGACCACCAGACCGGCGTTGAGAATAGACTGGGCAATGTCTCCGGCAGCCATGGACACGTTCAACTTGTTCCCTTCCGCATCGACTCCGCCATTGACGCTATGCAGGAGGAGGTGGGAGAGGGTCGTCTTGGTTTGCAAAGTGTCTAGCATCTTCCCCAAAGCTCGATCACTAATCGCAGCGTCGAGGTATATGTAGGCCATCATAACGAACGAAGTCCAGAGCACGGCATTCAGGGAGCCAGTCAAGATGATGCGAACCCAGGGAGCGAGGCCTTCGGAGCGTTTGACAGATGCTTGAATCTCCAGCATGGTGAACCAGGTGGCAAACAGGAGGAAAGTCGCCAGCGAGGCATCGTGGTGTACCGCATATCGGAGGGGAATCCCGACAGTAAAGTAAGGAACCAGCACAAGACCAGCATCGGGTTTCGGTTGAGCCATCTTAGGAGTCCGCACTCTAATGTCTCCTGTTGTGCTTCCGTAGGTTGAGCTTTTCGAGCGAAGTCGGGGGTCTGGTTCCTTCACAACCGCTCTCTTCACCAGAGCATGACACGCCGAAGCTGAAGCTGCTGGCCATCGAATCGCGCTCGAAGATGATCTTGCTTGAGATCCAACTCCATCGTTCCCTGCGGCCTTCGACCACTTCGATGTTTTCCGGTTCTTGGGTGGGAGGAGCGCGTGGTTGCCATCGGACCATCAATGAGTGGATCGGCAAGGCCAGGAAGTAGGTCGATGCCGTATTGAGGACGCCCGTTAGTACTTGTCTGTGTTAGCATATCTCCCATGTAGCCTTCAATACGAGCGTCTTACCAAAGCAAGCGATGACAAGCCCCACGGTACGGGCATCAGCAAGTGGTCCTCGGCAGATCATGACGAAAGGAATGGTGAAGCCGATGGACATGTGTCGGTTAAGGAGGTTCGTCTGCGACATGTCAGTCAGTATGATGGGAGGAGGCCAAAGCGTTCTCGGCAAGTTCATGCCGGGGTAAGACAACGTACCGCGCGGCTCAGACGCCTCTGGTATATCCCCTCGAGTCCCGGAACGACACATCCAATTGCTAAGGTGACCACAAATAGGGCACCCATTGCCAAAATCGAAGGGGGGAAGTCCACGCTATGGTCGTCTAACATCAGGTCGATGCCGGCAATTAGAAGTTGGGCAACCAGTACGAGCACAGTTGCCACGATGCCGTCCCATATCGTGGTTTGCCCTTTCACGTAGTCCCGCAGCCTAGCGTAACGCTGCCTCGTCTTGGTCGAGAGGGGTGGTATGTACATGGCGGTTATAGGAGGTAAGGTCGGAGATGCCGTGACAGACGACGGTGGTAGAGTAGGGGCCATGTTGATCGACCCTGGGTGTCGAGTCGTAGTCGTCGTGTGAGAGAAGTAATAATGCACTTTTTAGGGAAAGTCTGAACCTGAGCATACATATGTCAAGTAGGTGGTGAGACACATGAGCCGAAAAGAGGTAGATAGATGGAAGTGACAGGCGGGGCGTTGGAGTTGATAAAGGGCCGGCTGAGCTTTAGGTTGGCTTTTTTTCAGATGGGGGTTCGATTCGCTCTTGACACATTTGCAGACAACCTCGTGGTGTCTAGGACAACGACTGCAAGAAGCAGGCCTGGAACAGCAGTAGGGTTCTCCCATGGACAATAAACATGAAGTACATGGGGGAGATAATAGGGGACGGGTTTTATCGTTTGTCCTCCCCCACGCCATGTGGTTCGGCGGCGGCGGTCAAGAAAAAGCCACTTTTTGCACGGATGGTGTTTGGTAGTAGGTATCCCTTGGTTATGGATCTCTTGCTTTCCCGCGAAGAGTTTCCGTGGGTATGGTCCGGGTTTGCAGGGGGGCTGTGTGAATGGTTTGAACGGACTGAGGGTTCTTAGGTTCGGGATAGGAATATGCTAGGGTGTAGTGACGTCGTGCCAGACAGTGAGAATCACAAAGGGGGAGAAAAGTGAACAAGCCGGCGGAGATCCAACAACCAAGAACCTTGACGACGATCCGGATCCCTGGATATGGGATCGGAGGGGAAATGGGAGAAGTATGAAGAGGGAAAGAAGGAAGGGATCCCTGTGGTTGAACGAAAGAAGGGAAAGGGTAGACGAGTAGACGAGATAATCCTCGCCGCGAATAGTCGCACGGCAGGATCCACGAGAGCCCATCCCCCTTTGAGATCGAACGAATACTAGGCCATGGTGAATGGAGGGGAACGTTAGTATGGGATGCGATGTGATGTGCCAGGAGTGAAGGGTGAAGTGAATGTGTGTGATAGGAGCGAGTTTGTCCACCGACTTGATACTTCAGGCCCTGCCTGGCCCGTTCTTCCTTCCAGTGAATGGAATCCTTAGAAGGTTCTCATGACTGGATGAAACGCCCAAAACAGGCAGGTACGGGAACCTTGACGACGCTGATAACATAACGACGACGACAAAGCGAGGACAAGGACGAAGGAGCCTCACAAAGTTCCGAATAGAAAGAGCGGCGGGACAACCAGGAGGTACCCGTGGCCCGTGGTCCGTGTTGCCACCGTCGTCGTCGTCGTTGTCTGTCCAAAGTCACAGCCATTCCCGTTCCAGTCCCGCCCGTCCAATTCCCATGTTCCATGACCATGTCCATGACCATTACGGTACGCACCGTGTATAATATGGCTGACACCTTGTCACCGTGGTGACCCTACAACTATTACTCCCATGCTTGCTTGCTTGCAGTCCGCGGGAGTCCAGTTGCTGTAGGTGGTGATGTGATGCAAAGGAGTGGGACACGTCAACATGTCGGTGTGAAGTTTTTTTATTACGGACACTCGTATGGCAGTTGTTGACAGCAGATAGTACTTAAAGAGACTTGTACCATGTTCAACGGTAGTTCCTGGTTCCTGGCTTCCTGGCTCTCCCTGACTAAAAGGACGAGCATGTAGCCGCTGCCCGGCCGCGATGGCCTGCAGATTGAGGTCAAACGACGGAGGACAAAAATACGCCATGGCCAGTAGATTTTGGAGACTCAAAGTCCAGGGCGTCTTGAGGCGTTCTCCTCTGCCGTTGTCGTTGTTGTCAGTCAGTCACTCTCGGTATCTTTTTTTTTTTTTTTTCTTTTCGTCTGCTCATCGGAAATATTGTCCCAATTCCCGTCACCTTTTGGTAGGTAACGGACGGGAGCGGGAGGCAGGGGAGGGAAAAGTCAGATCCGCGGATGTGTGGCGTCTTTGGGCTGAGTGATGGAACGGCATCTTCCATTTGGTGAATGGGCTGGCTCATCGATTGAACTTCCCTTGTGGCTGTTGACTGTTGTTGTGCGTAGATGTTGCTCTGGAGAAGTTGTTCGTTGTTTCTTGTTTTCTTCTTCTTGGTCAAAGCGTTTGAGGAGATTAAAGATTAACTTGCTCGCGGAAATTGTTAGTGTAAGAGACTAAACATACGTCCCTTCCTGTTTGATCCGAGTTGCCCTGAGTCCTATTCCCGTGCCTTCCGCCGTTGAATCGGTTCCTGGATCGTGTTGGAGGCGTCATGAGGCGCTTCTTCTCTTCCTCAATGTGGGAGATGTAGGAGCATTGGGGGTCACAGTGCGGTCTCAATCGGGTTTAGGGCCGCAAGGAAGTGGCAGCCACCACTCCACTGGCGGCCGATCATCTCTGGGCTTATAGAGAAGAGAGCGGGAAGGAGACATGGATCGCGTTGTGCTAACAGATTGCTCTGTGTTTTGTCAGTCTTTTCTGAAGCATGTCTGTTAGTGCGGGGAAGATGGCCCCTGTCATCCGCCAAACAGTGCACCGTCTTTACGGGAGGATATTCTGGAACGCAAACAAGTAAAACATGGTCGATTTCCTGCATTTCCTCATCTCGCTCATCTCCATCTCTCTCTCTTGTCGTTCTTCTCACATCAGCAACAATGAACTCAGCTTCTGCAGTGTTTCCTCCACCGCGTCAATAGCCAGAACCCCCTCCCAACCGGGTTTCCTAAAGAGTGTTCGGGGTCCCTCCCCCACGAACTCCTCAATCAGGATGGCAATATATTCATCTCATGCATTCAACCAAATACAGACGGCCAGGTTTATCATCTTCCTGCTTGTTTCAAATCTAGGCCATATTTCCAGGCCCTTTCTCAACGGACTGCATGGAAACGAGTTGGTCTCCCGATGCCGGTCTCAGGTCTGTTCATGTGCCTTGCATTGCCACCTTCTCCCCGTTGAACTTGGATGAGGGTGCTGGATCCCATCACCACTTTCATCTTTTTCAACGGGAGCGACGCTCTAGATCGTGAAGACTACGGAACCCTTCCCAATATCAGGCATACAATGTTTGCTCTGAGGTTGGGCTGTGTGGGGGCCCAACCGGATATTCGGAGTCTCGGAGACAAAGTGATGGGAAGCTTAAAACTGACAGCAAGCTGGAAGCCGTCCGCGTCTCCATATCATCCTTTCCCCTCCGCCGTCTACCGTAGTCTTCGTATGGCGCCAAGATGGTACGGAAATAGCAGCAGACGGGATGCCTAAGCCAGCATCAGCCATGATGAAAAGGCCCGTCTTATTGCCCGTTATCCACTTCTCCCCGTCCCTTTCATTCTCTCCGCCTCCCCGTCTTGCCTGTTTTCTCGGCTCCCCGGCCTCCCAGTTCTCCACAACCTCCCCCGTCTCTCCGTGTTGCCGTCTGATGACCGACCAGGGGATTCGTCAAGGACGAAGAGACCTATGCAGTTCCCGAGGCCCAGGTCTTGGGACACGGCACAACGCAGTTTACATAACCACTCATTTGCCAGGTCTCCAGTTGTTTCTGTCGTGGTCCAACCGGAACGGGCCTCTGCTCTACGGTAGGGGCAAAAGCGATCGGACGGTATTAAAGTGTCCGAAAGCAGTGGAAAGAGAGAAGAGTTGGACACACAGTCACAACCTAAAATTGTCGTCTTCCGAGTTGTACACCGTCCGACTGTCCGACTGTCCGACTTGAGCGGGGTATCTCAAGACCTGGAAAGAGTAGCTCAGTTACTCAAGAGGGAACCCAAGGGGTAAGGTGTTATTACCCTCTGGACCACAGATTTTCCTTCAAAGGGGTGTTTTGATGAGAAGGACCCGAGGTCCATGATCCTGTGATCTCGTGATGGGTTGAGGCAAGTGCTGCTTGGACGAGCCGCGAGGGCTGAAGTTTCAAACTTTGTGCTTGTGCTCGTCACTTCAACAAGAAGACGTCACGGTAGATTCAAAGGTAGTATTGCGGCTCAGCGTTCGTCGTTCGTAACGGGAGGGACACACACAGATGACTGACGGGGCTCAAGCCAACAGTTGCAACAACCGGCAAGCCCACCTCATTCAAACGACGCCGCCACGCCGCCGCCGTGGCCATGGCCGTGAACTGGCGACACAGGTTTCGAACCCTCGAACTCGAAAAACTCATGGTCAGTGATCACTTGTTTCGTTTCAAGATACTAAGCCATAAGCTGACATGAGTGAGGTATGAGTGCGCCACCTGCACTAGAATGACCTAAAACCTCAGGGTCCAACACACTCAGCCCAAATCGGGGAAAGAGGCTTGAAAAGGCAATATCGATCAATTTACCACGCAGCCCCATCCATCCAGACTTCATCCAGCCAAACCCTTCATATTAACCACTTGCATTGCCATTGCAGTCGGTCGGTATGTACTATGCACATAATGCAGCTCTAGACTGTGATGTGCATCAGCATTATACCCGCCAGTCAACATGCTTGAAAGTAAAACATCATCGGCATCCACTGACAAGCCAACAACAAGCAACAGCAAAAGCGGAAACGGAAAAACGAAACAAAATCTACCTACCGTGATAACAGCCCAGGTTAGCACGCAATTTGCAAAAAGGCATGGATATCCCCAGAAAACGAGCAGTGAGTCTTCAACCTGTGGCAAAAAGGTATGCATGTGCCCGCTGGCCGCTGCGCCGGGCAGCCGAAACAAGCGGTTGCTTGCGGATCGAGCCGCCGCGCCATTGCCAGCTGGTCAAAGCTGCCCCCTCTGACCACTTCCGATAGAAAGATCGAGTTGTTCTTCTTTTATTTCGTTGATAACCTGAAGTGTTTGGCGATGAATGGCTGTCTGGCGATAGTCCCTCAACTGGAATCACGGAACCATCTGCGCCGCTTCAACGTGTAGTTGTTATCACAACTGCTTCATGTTCACGGGTCACAGATCTTCTTTCGTTCATAACTTCGTCCACCCGGACATTCAGGTACCGAGGTTTGTCCCTCGTTGCGCACTCGCAAGAGAGGAGGACGGAGGACGGGGAGTCGTGAACTTGGCCTTGGCATGGGGTTTAGAGAAACGTTTCACATCGTTTTCTTGTGTACTTGTGTTTCCCGGGGATTGTCCAAAGCTACGAGCTAGACGATCGATGCTAACCTTCATCTCCCCATCACCACGCCATCTCCACCAACGGTGAGTGAGCTTCTGGACTTGTGACAGGACAAGAAAGGCAGCCAAGCAAGAAGAGCAGGCAGCAGTCTAACCACATTCGCTCGAGAGTTATCTTCACGGCCGAGTTGAGCTTCAGCGCACATCACCTTTATCCAATGAAGGCAAGAAGGAAGCGAATCCAATCTCAGGAGCCCCGGTTCATGCTTCAAAAGCGCTGCGAGAGTGCTGCGTAAGCGCCATGTTGTGTACGCCTTTCATCGTCCATGGTTCGCATTGCCAACGAACAGTTTCGAGACATTCACCAGACTGAAAAGAATGGATGGTTGGATGGATGGATAGATGGGTGTCCTCATTCGGCTGCATGGTCTTGGCTCCGGATGTGAGGACCAGGACCGTGGTGGACGAGGACCGAGGTAGCGACTTTGGACAAAAGTCATATGTGAATCGGTGATCGATGGAACAGGGGGAACAGAAGTCGAATTCGAGATCGAAGAAAGTGAGCCATGCTAAACCTGGGGAAGAGAACGAGGAGAACAAGAGCAGAGGAACATGGAGAGGGGCAGGCCGGAAATGGTCTACATTCTACGTTGCTCGGGCTACGGGCGTACGGGCGTAAAGAACGCCACAATGCCGGGCCCCTCCCCGGCACATTCTCCGCGGTTGTGCGGAGAAAGGTAAGGTATGTACTTGGTAGACTTTGGGGAAGAAGGGGAAAAGGAAGCAGGGGAAAGGGAGGAGGATGAAGAGGAAGAATATTTGAGGGAGTACCTACAACTTGCACAAAACGTGGTAGCTGTGGATGTCTACACGTCTGCGAAGATAATGATTGTTAGTGCGGCGCCACCGGCTGATAAGAAACACTAACAGTTCCCATTCAAGCCAAGGGGTACACAAACTGCACACGGTTGCAAATAACATGCGATGTATCCCAGCCACCCGTCAACCGTCACCTCACCCGTTTCATTTGCAATTCACAATGTCATCCAGCTGTCAATCAAGTGTCTGCCGTGAACTGTCTGCCGCATTGTGCCTTTGTAGATATGCAAATGGAAGCTCGCTAGCTGTGCAGGATTGACTCTCAACGGCCCTGCCGGGCATTCATTCAATACCGGCCTCCAAGTTTCCAACTGCCGTATCCCCGTCTCCCCGTGCCCTTCCCACGTTTCCGTCTTCGTATGCCGCTTCCTACCGCTGTGAGCCGCTCGTCTCTTGCCCCAGTCTGCCGAACCGGCGCCGTAGCTTACCCTTTTGAAGCAATCGAAGGATCTCGTGGCTCAGGGCTGCATATCAAAGATAAACTTTTAGATAACAAAACTACATAATGACGAGCATCATGACTCGCGTGCAATCAAGTCGAGAACTATCCACTTAACATCGGTAAATATGGGGTTGTGGTGGGTTTTCAGTGGTGAGAGTGGGTTTTAAAACGGGCGAGACAAAGGCGAGACAAGGCTGGTGTTCCCTGTTGGTCCCTTGTGTGGTGGGGTGCTTCCCTAATCTGTCAGGGCTTGTCATGTGGAAGCACTGGAAGGGGGAGGAGCCCTACAAAATATTTGGAGATGGGTGCGAAACTGTAAATGGTGAGATCTTGATTGCGGCAGGACGGGACAAAATTTGACAACCAAATAACCAAACAACAAACTATAACAACAAGCGGTTGAGACAGCAAAATGCGTATGATTGGGGACCGAGGAGATGGCAGAAGACCTATGGAACTAGATTAAGGATAAATAAAAATCAATAACGGAATTTGCAATCATTGATGCAACACTTTTGCTGCACCTCCAAACATTAGACATCGACGGTTGTTGGAGAAACGATGTTGGAGTCGCTTGTTCCATCGCTTAAATATTTTCTGTAGCGTGTAAGCGGGGGAAGAGTCCACAGTAAGAGGTGGGGTCAAAACATAGAGGCCGTTCCTGGCCAGCTTCTGTTTTTGGAGCAAGTGTGAACTCTTGTTCCCCCAAATCCACAAACCACTTTCATGACCAACAGCAACTCCCAGTCTTCCAGTCCCATACCACAGATGAATCGTCTCATGATCAAAACCTCGACGACCACTACCACCAAGATGGTAATGGGAGAAAACACTTGACATTTTCGATAGTCTTCTTTGTCAGCACAGCAATCCCGATGGTTTGGCATCCTGTCACACCTCCATGATCACCTTCAACACTTCCATCCACAAAGTCAAAAACACGATTCAGACCCTGGACGCCGATCAGCCTTTTATATAACACCAGGCTTCCCTGACTTCCATCCAAGCCTCCCTCGTTTACACCATACACCATACATACTCCATCCTTCCCGATCAACACCATGGCCTCACAAAGGGATCCAACAACATCCTCGTTCCCGGCCACTGTCAACGTGGACGACGTGGTTTCGGACCCTGAGTCTCTCATCCGCCTCCTGCGTGCCTACGACCCTGCCTTTGATGGCGCACAGGCGGTGAGAGCCGCTTACGAGGATGCTATTCGACATCGTCAAGGGCAAGGGCGAGGACAGAATCACGATGAGATGATGATGGATATGGATATGGATATTGACAGCGAGGAAGACCATGACCACCAAAGTCAAGCCACCGCCTTCGGTCGCCGCGGCGGGCTCACGGGGAATGCCCTCGTCGACTGGGTTACCGCCCATGTCAACTCAGACACTTTGCTCTCTGTTGACGAGATGAACCAGTAAGGCGCCTGGTCCTGGAACGCCACACTTTCTCTGGTCCCCAAGAAACTGACACCAACACATAGGTACGCCGCCCTCGAACGGGCCGGGCTTCTGCCACACTTGGAAGCCACCCTTTCCCAGCCTTCTGTTCCCGGCCCCATGTCCGATCTCAAACCACCACCCAGCGATCCGTCAAAAGTCCCTCCCTTCAGCGATCAGGAGATCAGAGCGGCCACCCAGGAACTCATCCGATCAACCAGTCTCATCACCCGCCAGACCGAGGCCCTGCGGGAACAGCAAGAACACCTTGACCGGCTCGTTGCTGAACACAAGCGGGATGTCCAAGCCAGGGCCGCCTTGGAGGTTCAGCAGCTCAAGGGGCTGGGGGAGCAACAGAGGGAGTTGGTACAGTCGGTACGTCTTTTGGAGTTGTGATGTCATTGACTCCCTTTTCCCAAGAAAAATCACGATCCATCTGAGATCTTAAGGGTCCTCGATGTCTTTTAATCATCATCTGTCCATCGAGTTTGACACTGGCCCCGGGGTTCACGTTGACCGCTGACCGCTGAACAACTGGCTAACTGAGTTGACAGGTAGTAGAACTAGCCCTGTTCCTAGGCGACAAGGTTGATGAACTAGAGGCTCAGAATGAAGACCGGAAAGCCGACGTCGAAACGCTTGTCGATGGCATGTTTCACTCGGATGACCATGTTTTGTCTAGTCTCCAGAAATTAGGGGACCAGTTGAGCAGTAGGTCTTGTTCTTCTGGGGAGGAGGCCAACAAGGCGGAGGAGGAGATGGTCAGGAGTTTGCGTGACGTTTGCGCTAGGTGAGTACTTACCTCACTTGTCCTTGACCTTGTCCTTGACCTTGACTTTGACCTGGTACATCAGGGTCTGGTTCACAACATGCATAGAAGCTAATCTGTTTTGTGAGATAGAATGATCAAGTTCCATGTGGAAGGGATTAGAACGAGGTTGGATAGGATCTATCTCGAGACCCTTCATGCGGCGATAGAGTCTGGGGCTGGGGTTGATGGTGATGGTGGTACCGTCGTCACCGTGGAGGATGTTGCTACTGTTCAGAGGGAACTGGAGGAACTCTACACTGAGATCCTTCCAGTCGGTCAGATGGCTATCGAACATCAGTTCTTGAGGCCTGCTCTAGATGATCTAGCGGCCAAGAATGGTCGCAGTTTGGAGCAGTCGACGCAAGCAGCTCACTATGTAGGTTGCCCGCACTCACCATTCATGGGGTCAAGCTAACACATCCAGATCGACGAATGCCTCGACTACCTCCTCGACCGCATCACCACCATCCGCGCCTGTATCGAAGAATATCTCTCGCACCAACAAGCCGTCGCTGAGTTCGCCCAACTCACACGGCCAGAACTCAACACCAATGGACTTCTTCCCAAAGATCCAACGGACTCATCACGGCCCGGTGCATCTCACCACCGGCGACATTCCTCCTTCCCCCGGCAACTCCCAGCAGACTCACTATCCCCCGAGCTCAAATCTATCCTCCAAACCCTCGGCGTCCCCATCCCCTCGTCTGATCCATCAACACAATCCCATCTCTCCACCCTTCAATCAGCCCTCGACTCCGTCCTAACAGATTGCCAACAGAAGCGCGACGACCTTTTCTCGGCAGCGCAATCAACCTTTGAAGATGCAGTAACAAGACACATAGGCGATGCGAAAGCAGCGCTTACCATGCTTAGAGATTCGGTGTTGGCGGAAAGTCCGTGGGGAGCGGTGAGGCTGGTTGATGAGGAGTTGGAGGAGAGTGTGGATGTTATTAGGCAGGAGTTGGGGGACGTTGAGGAGTGGAGGGCGAGTGTTGAGGGCGATATCAAGAAGGCGACGAATGGGAATGAGAAAAAGGAGGCGATTTTGAAGCGATGGGGGGAGCGGTTGTAAGTGTTGACGGTCAGAGTGAGTAGAAGATTCATGCTGGAAACGAACGATGGACATGATGGGCATGATGAACAAACATGCTGCTATGATAATGAGTACGAGTATGAATGTTCATGATAATGACGCCTGTCCGCAATGCGCGGAAATAGGCCTAGGCCTGTGTATAGTACAACTTGACTGATAGGTTAATAAAAACAATACTAGACATCGTCCCGTTGGTATCCATCAAGGGTTCGGAACTACATGTCTTGCACCGTCTATGATGACGCTAACATGGCACGTCAAAAGAAGGTTATTTGCCCGAGCCGCCGCAAATTCCGACACCTGCCTGGGCTTCCGTAGGCCAAGACGATCATATTCTTCCTTTATGCGAATCAAGGCACCCGAATGCTCCGAATGGTTGCATGTTTCGCCATCATTGTTAGGGGCCTCGGGGGCTTTCGAGGGGCTGTGCTTGTCAATCATGGTCATGGGCCAGGGCCATTCAGATGGTGGTCTAGGTGAACGAGCCAGGCCTTGGTGCTGTGGAGCCACACCCGCCAAGTGCCGAGGACGATGATATCACCGTTGCTTCATTATCCACTGCATCATCATTTGGAGATCCAATGCTGTTCCTGCTTTTCGATGTCGTATTATTGGGTAAGTGATGGGGAACTGTTCCTGCGTATATATATTGGGGTCCGGGAGGGAATGGGTTTGGCATTAGATAAGTCTTACATACTACATCGATCATCATCCACGGCGATTTGATACACCTGCACTATCAAAAACACAACCACAATAACAACATCTACACACACAAAATCAGACAACATGGATTCCGTCAAGAAGGCACTCAACAAGGGCTTTGATAAGGCTACTAACGTTAACAACGAGCGTATGTCTCCTCTTCTCTTTTCCCCTCGCTTTCCCTCGTATCCGTGCCCTTCTTCCCCTCGCAACCTCCCCCATCATCGTGATGCATCCCATCACACTCGCATCATTTACATCTCCCACCCAACCCTTCCTTCTTTCACCTTTCCCCATTTTGCTTCCCACACCAACCACCATACCTCTACACAATCTCCACCACTAGCACAAAACCAAGCATCAACCGATCATCCACATCCATCCATTCAACGAGAACCAAACGAAACCCAAGCAACGAAGACTAACACAAATGGACGCAATAGCCCAAGTCCTCAACAAGTCCTCCCACGCCCTCAACACAACCTCCATCTCAGACCGCCATTCCTCCCTGACGGGTGGCATCGATCACCACCTGGAGAAGCCGCAAGATCCCAGCCGAAGCGCGGGTGCTTTGGGCACGACGGCGACGGGTGTGAGCACTGGTACGCATCCTAGGCAGCATTAAGCGTTGCGTTTGAGCGTTGAGCGTTGAGCATTTGCTTGGAGGAAGAAATAATTGGGGAGGAATGAATGAATGAATGGATGAACGAACGAACGATACCTAAATTTTTGGGGGGTTGGGAATGAATGAAACGGCATGGTTTTCACGACTCTTTTTGTTTCGTTTGGTGATTTGGTGCGATTCCTTTTTCGCTTGATTGTATGACTGGATTCATGTTCTTCCCTGCATATCTGCAACTGCGACTTCATTGCGAGCGAGCGAGCGATGTGATTTCCTGCATATACTTACCTAGTTGCTGCTTGCTACATAGCGAGCGACTGCTTCCCACTTCCGCCTTGCAGCACTCTGCTTTCACCAGCATCAGGAACGGTACTAACAAACACCAAAACACAAAAAACCTTTCAACCACGACAAGACCGTCGCACATCAAATCAATACGCCCACGACATGGGCTACGGCCCCTCTTCCGGCCCATGCTACGGCGGCACGGCTGGTGGTCCTCAACTTGGTCTTCACAGAGGAAGCGTTGGATCGATTGGATCAGCCGGGTCTACCGACCGGGAGTCTATGGAAGGAGTAGGGATTGGTATGCAGTCGCATGGTCGATACCGTGAACATCGTCAGCCGAGCTTGCAGGAGCAGAGAAGGGGAGAGAGAATGGGGTGGGATATTGGGGAGCATTTTGATGTTTGATCAATGAAGCCAGGTCTACAGTAGGATACACAAGGTACCTCTAGGTGGTTTCTGGGTTGGGTTTTTATTGATAATTGGGGATGGGTACCTATGTAATGAATGACGAATTCGTGGGATACATGATGCTAGGAAACCAAAAGACAAAGAATGGAGACAGGGTATGTCGAAATACCGAGAGGTACCTATAGGTACTTCTAGATATCACTGGTAGTTCATATCATGTCACTTCGCGACAGGCCTGTGATGCTAAAGTAGCTAAACATGACGAATCCCGTGATATCTTCCCGCTTTCAGGCTCTCTTGCCTTACTAATCTTTGCGACAGAAGTGTCACTTCGTAATCACCATACAACCAAGCAACGCAAAAGGTAGGAGGAAAGTTGCGAAACGGGAGCTTTTCGATGAAGATGAAATGCACAATACCATGAGATGGCTGGAATCAAGGACCAAACACTCATCTGGAAGGATATCCGCTAAGGTAGGTCTATTGTCTGTTCGTCGGGCACCATTCACTCCCTCTGTTTCATTTCATCCCATCTTGTTTGAACCGCGCCCGTCTTCGTTCTATCCACTTGTGACTGTTGCCTAAGTGCTATTGTCTTTTCCGTTCAAGGTGCAATCACCTGGAACTGTCCAAGACTTTCCGATCAGGACCAAAGGACATCAATTATTCCCTTCTCGTCAGCGACCATTCATTCCCCTCTCATCCATTTCATCCCATCCATTTTTCATGCCACCCGTCTTCCTTCACGTCAGTTGTGACTGTTGCCTGCTAATGGCATTTCGTCGCTTCCATGCAGTTGGATGGCGTTTGTTTTCTATCCGTCTTCTTCTGGTTGCGACACCATCATCAAGGACAAGTCTTTTTCGACCTTCTGCCTAGGATTGGCTATCAAGGCAAGTAGTTGCATTCCATATGTCGAGTTTTGATGAAGACTTGTGAAGGTGTACACAAGACTCCTTCATTCGCAGGGTGTGATTTCTCCTTGGGAGTACATGCAAAGTGCGTGGTTGAGAAAAGTCTTCTACGAGCCCGGACTTAGGGTGCGCGTAGGTTTTCCTTGTAGTGTGCCAGGCAGGTACCTAGGTTTTCTCATCCTCAAATACTAACCAGACCTGTTGCCAAAAGGAGGCTTTCTATAAAATAGGTTGACTCCCACGGGGTTGCTGTCTGTCGGCAGGGACCAAAGGCTGATCCGGAGGGACGTTACAGGTAAGGTATTGATTTCCCGGCAAGCACCATTCACTCGCTTTTTCCCATTTCATCTTGTCTTATTTACCCCACTCGTCTTTTTCCCTTCACTGTCGCTTTTGCCTGCAAGTGCTATTGTTATTCATTATTTTGCTTCGGTTGGGTTCTGTTGGGTGCCCTGGACTTTCCACCCGCTTGTTTTCCTCTGGATTCGATACAATCGTCGAGTGCAACTTTTTTTTTGACTTTCTTTTCACGCGTATCACTTCGAAATACTTTCCGACCACAATCTCGGGTGCCTCGCGGCCTCAACCTTCTAGAAACCTCGAACTGAAGCACCGGAAACTAAACTCCAAAGCGTCGAAAAGCTCATCAGCGCACCGGCGCATCGTATCTCGAGACTCGAACCGCAATCCGCTGCTCCTCTGAGGGAAGGACTCTCACTTCTGACTTCTTCATCACCACAAAAGGAAAAGAGAAACGAAAGAGATCGATATCAACCCTCGACAAGCAAATTACCGATTATCAGAAAGTCAACCACCGCCCAGCTCGTTAAAAGTCTCACCATGTGCATAATCTGGTGGTCCCACGGCTGTCCACACTGCCGCCGGCTAATCCCCGTCCGGCCCAACAACTCCCCTCAACCCGGAGCTCGAGCTGGATCCTCCAAGCTTCCTCAAACCTTCGTCGACGTCGACAAAGTCAACCCACAATTGCCTCTATACCGCCTCGCCCTCCCGCAACCAGAGACTCACGAAGTACACAGTATTTGGAGATGCTACGAGGTCGATACCGGCATGTCGTTGCGGGAGTCGTTGAGTAAGCGCATGGAGGCGGATATGGCGAATGGTTTGCACCTGTGTAGGGGTGACGATTCTGTTGGGCCGGTGCCGGGCTCGATTCTGGACGGCGGAGCTGGAGCTGAAGCTGGACCCGGCGCTGGAGTTGCGGCAGCATTTGAAGCCGGACTTGGAGCCCGTCTTGGTCCCGGTCTTGGTCCCGGATCTCTAGGAGTCGCGCCTGAAAATCCTTACCTCAGCCTCAACCTTTCTTCACACTTGAATCAGAATCACAACATCCTCAACCTCAATCTGCCGAGTACAGGCCCCAACAATCCCGCCATTCTTGTTACTTCCGATCCCGTTCTCCCTCCCGCTCCTCTTCCCTCTCCGGTGCCTTTGCTCTCCAGCATCGACAACAGCAACAGCGTCAACAATAACAGCAACGACACCAGCAATAACACCTCCTCCAGCGCCTCTCAAGTTTCCCTTCAAGGACAAGGTCTTCCTCGCGCCGCTCAGTCTCGCGGTCTGCCTCGTGGTGACCTATCTCCTGGCCTTCCTCCCGGTTTTCCTCCACCTGTTCTCCATCCTGTTCTCCCTCCCGGGCCTAGCTCTTATGCCTTCCGTTCACATGGACCCCTCCTCCTCTCTCCTGTACTCCCTCTTTTTCCACTTCCATCTCCCAGTCTTAGTGGCTTCCCTATAGGTATGGATAGTCTCCTCCCCAATCCTCTCTTTACTCCCCTTTCCGGCTCTTTTCCCAGACACTTCTACGGACCCCTCTTCTCTCCTGGTCACGGTCTTGATACCTTCTCCGGACCCAACTTCCTCCCTGGACAAGGTCCAAAGAAGGGAGGTCTAGAATCCTTCCGCCATTGTCCCTACCTACAGCATCGCGACGCTAGCAACCCCGAAAAGAGCCATCCACCCGAAAGTTGTTGGTTGACGAGAGACAGAAAGGGAAAGGTTGGGATTGTTGATGGGATGTTGATGTCGCCGAGGCCGATGCCGAGTGGTGCTGGTGCTGGTGCTGGTGCTGGTTATGGGCAGGGACGTCAGGGACAAGGAGGTCATGCTGGACCGAACACCCGGGCCGTACAAGGCGCTAAAGCCGGCGGATATGGAGCGATGCATACTGGACAAGTGTCAGGCCATGCTGCAAGGGGGCAGATACATGCTGGACAAGTGTCGGTACAAACCAAACGTGGACATCATGCCGGGGTTGGGGGTCATGCTACCTCTACACACGGACGTTCTGCCGCACCCCAGACCGCACCGCACGCACCGCCCCATCGGGAAACCCACGCTACACCCAATACCACACCTCATCTTTACAACAGCAACGATGGGGATAGGATGTCTTCAGGAGGGAACGGCGTGATCCCAAACGCGAATCCACCCCCGGACCAAAACCAGCCTCCCAGTCAGCATCAAGCAAACATGCGCGTACAATGGTGGAAAATGGGCTGGTCCAGACTGCTACAGTTCTACCTCCCAGTCGGCGGTAGAGGCTCGAGGTTGATGATGAGCGATATCGATGGCTAAAGAGGTAGTTGAAGTGGCTGTTGGGACCACAAAAGGAGGAAAGGAGGAAATTGCGATGGACGGGCAACCTCCAAGTTTCTCCAAAAATTGCCCCTGGGTTTCTTCTCCAGCTAAGGTACCGACAGTTGAGATCTGTCGGCTGTCGGCTTCAGCCTCCAAGCACCACCACCACCTGGACATCACACAGTTACACAGTAGTCAGACGCCTGCCTGCCTGTGTGGCTCCGTCGGGATCGGGCATTACTCGGTGAATCGTACTAGATAGGTAGTTGCATAGGTAGCCCTACGCACCTAACCTGCAGGTACCCCGTACATCGCCGAGTTATAATTGTTCAGCCCAGATATTGGAGTCCAGTGTGCACACCTTGCGAGCGGGCATCTTTGCGGTAGAAGAAAGAGACTGAACTGAATCGGAACGTCCAACTTTTGAGGGTGAAATATCGTAAAAGGCATGTATCGTACTAGTGACTCAGTCCCGAACTCGAAACTAACATCGTATGTCGTCGGGGTACACTCTGCGCACGCCCAAAGACCCTACAAACACGCCCAAATAAGTATATACTTTAGGGCTACTCAAAATAGAAGTAACTACCGAACTTCAAATATTAATTTTTCCCGTTACCCTGAGTTCTTAAGTTATTCGAAAGTAATTTAAATGTTTTTAAATTGTTAACTTTGTAGATTTGGAGTGGTAGATATCAACTAACTGAAAGGTTAGTACTTGCTTCTTACTTTCTTCAACGCAACTGTAAAAGCTAGCTAGTTATATTCAATTTTAGGTGAAGAAACGAGAAGAATCTTTTAAAGAGGCCTAAGATTTAAATACAAAGCCTTTCTCAGATTGGTTTATAGGAGGAATCGCTAGTATAGCCACTTCGCCTTCTAACATAGGCATGTTTGTAGAGTTTTTAGGCGTGCGTGGAGTGCACCCTATGTTGTCTCAGGTATAAATAGAGAGAGGGAGGTAGCAAAATGCAAGCGATAACCGCGTACGACAACTGCTATAATCCTACCCTACTTAGCTTACTTGACCTACCTGGCCTACTTACGAATAGAGTGCATCTCCATCTTCATGATGGCTATTGTCACAGGTTGACATTGGCT